TCTCTCTCTCTCTCTCTCTCTCTCTCTCTCTCTCTCTCTCTCTCTCTCTCTTCTCTCTCTCTCTCTCTCTCTCTCTCTGTGTCCCTGTCACTCTCTCCCCTGTCTCTTTCTTTTTCTTTTTTCTTTTTAGCTAGGCAATGGGGTTGTGACTTGGCCAAGGTCACACAGCTAGTAAGTGTTATATGTCCAAGACCAGATTTGAACTCAGGTCCTCCCAACCCCAGGGCCGGTGCTCTATCCACTGTACCAACTAGCTGCCCCCTCTTTGTCCTTCTGTGTGTGTTTCGGTCTCTCTGTATATGTCTTTGTCTCTCTCTCTCTCCTCTCTCTCTCTCTCTCTCTTCTCTCTCTCTCTCTCTCTCTCACCTGTTATGTGGTATGCTGTCAAGGGCACTAGTCTTAAAATTAGAAGACCTGGCTTCAAGTGCTAGATTTGACACTTAGAGAATTTGGCAGGGTCACACAGCTAGTAATAGTAAGTGTCTGAGGCCAGATTTGAACTCAGGTCTTTCTGTCTGCAGACTCAGGGAACTTCCATCATCATCCATGTCATGGGTGCTTCCTAAGGCTCTGTCTTGGTACTGTTCTCTCTATATCCCTTTCACTGGGCTTAGAGTCAGCAAGACCCGAGTTGAAATCCAGCCTCAGACACTTACCTGTGTGACCCTGGGCAAGTCATGTCATCCCTGTTTGCCTCAGTTTCCTAATATATAAAAGAAGAATAATAATAGCACCTACATTCCAGGGTTGTTGTGAGGATCAAATGATATAATAATTATAAATTCTTACTTATTAGCACAATGCCCAGGACATAGTAAGTATGTAAATGTTAGTTAGTAGGAGGAGGAGTAATAGTTGTCATTGTCATAGTAGAAGCAGTAGTACTAGAGGTAGAAGTAGTAGTAGTAGAAGAAGAAGTAGTAGTAATAATAGTAGTAGAAGCAGAGGTAGTAGTAGACTACTAGAAGTATAGGTAGTAGTAGTATTAGAAGTAGTAGTGGTATTATAGTAGTAGAAGTAAAAGTAGTAGTAGACATACTAGAAGTAGTAGTAGTAGTAGTAGTGTTAGAAGTAATAGTAGTAGGACTAGAGGTAGTAGTAGATGTACTAGAAGTAGAGGTAGTAGTAGTAATGTTAAAAGTAGTTTTAGTAGTGATAGTAGAAGTAGAAGTAGTAGTAGTAGTGACCTCATCAGGTCCCATGGATTCAGGTATAGCGTCTATACAGATGACTACCAGATCTGAATGTCCTGCCCCAGTCTCTCCCCTGATTTCCACTCTTGCAACACTAATTGCCTATTGGAAACTCCAACTGGATATTCACTAGATGTCTCAAACTCAGCATGGCCAAAACACAACTCATCATCTTTCCATCAAAACCCCCACTGTTCTAGACTTCCCTTTGTCCAACAAGGCACCCCCATTCTTGCAGTCACTCCTAGCTTTACAACCTTGGAGTCAACCTCAAGGCTTCCTTTGCCCTTGTCCGTCATGCATGACCAGTTGGCTTACTCTCATACTACCTCACGTCCATCCCCTTCTCTTGCTTTGGACAGCCACCCTCACCCCTTGGTCAGACCTGATCACCTCTCACCTGGTCCATAGCAATCCTCTTTTATTTGTTCTTCATCCATTCTTTCTCCTTCTCCAGTCTATTCTCCACACGGCCAACAAAATGCTATTCCTAGAACCCAGGTTGGACTAGGTCATTCCTCTGATCAATAAACTCTACTACTTCATTCTTGCCACTAGAATAAAATGCATATCTCTTGTTTGACTTTGAGAAAGCTAGGTAGAATAGTGGATAGAGTGCTGGACCTGGAGACCTGAGTTCAAATTTGACCTCAGACACTTACTAGCTATGTGACCTTGGGCAGGTCACTTAACCTGTTTGCCTCAGTTTCCTCAACTGTAAGATGAGGATAATAATAGTGCCTACCTCACAGGGTTGTTGTGAGGATCAAATCAGATAATGTTTGTAAAGTGCTTAGCCCAATGCCTGACACATAGTAGGTACTATCTAAATACTATGATTATGATTGTGATTTTGCAGCCTTTATTTTCCATTATTCTCCATTACACATAATAGAAGTGCCAGCCAAATTTACCTACTTGCAGTTCCTTATACATGACATGTCATCTGCCATCTCTCATCTCCAAGCCTTTGTACCAGCAATCCCCTATGCCTGGAATGCCCTTCCTCTCTACCTCTGCCTCTTAGAATCCTTAGCTTCCTTCAAAGTTCCTCTCGCATGTTATCTCCCACATGAAACATATTGTGATACCCTGGTTGCTAATGCTTCTCCCACTGGAAATTACTTTTTCTCTATTTTGATTTAATTTTCAGGCTATGTGTTTTCTCTCACCCCCATTTCAATAGAATGTAAGCTCCCCAAGGGCAAGATCTGTTTTTTTTATCTTTGCATCTGCTTTTCTTAGCTCAAGTGCCTGCCATATCACTTAGTAAATGCTTGTTGAATGAATGAATGAATGAATGAATCTTACTTAATTCATACCAAATGACCTCCCTGGGCCTCATTTTCTTAGCTGTAAAACAAAATGGGTTAATAATATTTTTATTACCTACTTCTCAAAGGCTTGCTATGATGAAAATGCTTGGTTAGCTTTAAAGAGTTATAGAAATGTAGTGGTTGTTACTGTTATTAATATTATTATTCTGGGAAAGGAATGTGGAAAACATATTCTGAATTCTTTAGAAGGTTTCTTATCAGTTCTGTAACTTTGTGTAGAGTATGATGACTGTGTGTGTGTGTGTGTGTGTGTGTGTGTGTGTGTGTGTGTGTCTAGGCTCACTGGCCATTGCTGGAGGACTGAAGCTTGGGAGAATATTTTTGATGTGAGGTCTTGGGATTTGAGATCCAAGTTAAGAGCCAGTGTTCTGGCCCCCAGGCTCCTATGGAAACAAAGCAGCATGAGACCTGTGATACATTTTACAGCTCATCCGCGTCTCCACGTTTTATGTGACTCACTCTATCCCACCAAAAATGAAAAGGAAGGAGGTGGGCTCTTACTCACCAGAGCCCTCAGCCCACAGATCTTCCCCACTCAAAGGAGGATGGGTTGGGGGGTGGGGAGGAAGACCTGTCTTCTGCAGCTCAGAGATGATCCAGAGGCAGGTACTGCAGGTGGGGGAGGGGAGTTTTCCTTGAGTAGCTACTGGTACAGGTGCCCAGGTTGTAGCTGGGTTATAGCCACTTCAAGGGGCAGATGCCCATAAAGAAGAGAAGAGGTTGGGAGTTTAACGGTGTAATCTTTGGCAAGTCAAATTACCTCCTTGGGGAAGGAACAGAATGTGGTGTGTGTGTTGTGTTGTGTTGTGTTGTATTGTGTTGCATTGAAGTCCAGCCTCCAAAGGCTTATGTAGAAACAATGGGATGCATCTCATCCTCCAACCTTCCAGAAGGTTGATCACAGTCCCAACATTAGTCTAGGTCCCTAAGACTCTGGTCTCTCCTTTCCAGAACTCCATGGTGAAGGAGTCTTGGGAAACAGTGGTATGGTGCAGACAGTCCTTGGAGCCAGGAGGCCAGAGCTGAAATCCCACCTGACACTCCTGTGTGACCCTGGATGTAGGATCTTAGAGTTAAAAGATGTAGAGGTCAATGAGGCCAATGCCCTCATTGTATAGATAAGGAAACCGAGGCCTGGAGAAGTAAAGGTTCTAGGGGGGGAAGGGACCTCAGAGGGTATTTAGCCCCAACCTCCCCATTTTACAGATGAAGAAACAGAGGCCCAGAGAGGGGAATGGAGTGCCCAGAGTCTCACAGTGAGTAAGTGTCTGAGGTAGAATTTGAACCCAGGTCTTCTATGTCTATCCACTACTCCATGTCACATCTCCCCATCTGGACTTCAGCTTCTTCATCTTTAAAATGGGGAGAATAGGACTTGCCTACATTGGCTCAAAATGGTGGTTGTGAGGAAACTGTTCTGTAAGCCTTCAAGAGCTGGAAAAATGGGAATGGTTTGGATTCTCATTCATTTTAGCCTTCTGGGTCAGCTGGACCCTGGCCACCTCCTTGTCCAGCTCTTGCTTTTCAATTGTATGTTCTGGGAAGCTTGGTTTAGGTGGTCAGAAGCTGGAAGGGACCTTGGAAGCCAGGGAGCCCAGTCCTGCCATTTTCAGATGAGGAAACTGAGGCCTGGAGACATTAAGTGACTGCCCCAAAGTAACACAAGGTCATTAACCTAAGGTCTCACTGATTCGAACCCTGGCTCTCTGACTCTAAATGTCCCTCCCCCACACTGAATTCATAGAGTATTGGACTTGGAGCCAGGAAGACCTGGATGTAAAATCTTGCCTCTGGCACTTATTAGCTATGTCACCCTGGGCAAGTCAATTCACCTGTCTGCCTTAATTTCCTCATTTGTAGAATGAGATTAATACCTGTCATACCCACCTCACAGATTTGCTGTGAGGATCAAATGAGTTAATGGATTTAAAGGGCTTTGCCAACTTCAGAGCCCCAGATAGTTGTCAGTGGTGACTTCTTTTTTCTATTTGTTGACTTCTTCCAATTTCCTGGGAGCTCAGGGTAACCCATAGGTGACCATCCTGTTCCCTCTTCCCCCTTCCTTATACAAGACTGTTGGGAGAAGTGAAGCATTTTTATTCTCAGCAGAATGTTAGAAGTTTCATTCTGGGTCTTAGAAAGGACATCTCCTTGAGGATGTTTTCTTAATCTCCTACGCAGTATCCCTTTGAAGGAGCCAGGTGGTAAAGTGGTCAGAGCATTGGGCTTGGAGTTAGGGGGACCTGAGTTCAAAACCAGCCTCAGACACTTATTAGCTGTGTGATCCTGGACAAGTCACTCTGTCTGCCTCAGTTTCCTCAGCCATAAAATGGGGATCATAATACCACCTCCCTCTCAGGATTATTGTGAGGGTGAAATGAGATATTTGTAAAGCACTTGCCACAATTCATGACACACGGTAGGCACTTAGTAAATGATTGTTCTTCCCTCTACTTCCTTTGTCCCACAGGTAAAACAGATCATGGAAGAGGCTGTGACCCGAAAGTTTGTCCATGAAGACAGCAGCCATATCATCTCATTCTGTGGTGAGTCTGGGGGCTGCCCTTTAGAAAAAAGGGGCTCCGTGTTTGGGATTCATCTTGGCCACTGGAAAATGTTTTATCTCTGTTCACTCAAGGCTTTGAGCAATGGTGTGATATAGTGGAAACATCACTGAGCTTGAAAAGTGGAAGATGTGTCTGAGTCCTAGCTCTTGCCCCTTCATATGGTGGGTCCATGTATGAGCCTTGGTTTCCTTCTTTGTAAAAACAGAATGAAAGTACTTAACTACAGGGATGTTGTAAGAAAAATAAACTGCCCCGGGTTGTTTCACAGGTTTACCAGTGATTTAGATAAAAGCAGAGGTGGCACATGCCACCAGATGTAGCCAGTTTGCAGGTGACAAAGCTAAGAGGGATGATTGACACGAAGAATGGTGGTCAAAGTTCAGAAAGATCTCGAGAGACCAGAGCATTGGCTTAGGTTGAAGAAGGTGAAATGGGACAGGGATCAACGTAAAGTCTTACACTTGGGTTCAAAAAATCAATTTGACAGCTGCAGACAGTAACATTGTACAAGTAATATTATCCGAGGATCCACTGTGAATGACTTAGCTCTTCTGAGCAATCCAAATGAGTCAAGACAATTCCAAAAGACTCCTGATGAAAAGTGCTATCCACTTCCAGAGACAGAACTGATGGAGTCTGAATGTAGATCAAAACAGACTTTTTTTGACTTTAAAAATGTTTTTTTTCACTCTGTGTTTTCTTTCACAATGTGACTAATATGGAAATATGTTTTGCATGATTGTGAATGTAAAATCTGTATCAAATTGCTTACCACTTCAGGAAGGGGTGAGGGAAGAGAGAGAGGAGAGAATTTAGATCTCAAATCTTTCAAAAACAAATGTTCAAAATTGTTTTTACGTGTAATTGGGAAAAATATTATTAAAAATTTTTAATAGGTACAGGATGGGAGAGGAATGGTGAGAAAACTCATCTGAAGAAAAAAGATCTTGGTCTTTTAATGGAAATGATGGAATAGAAGCAGCTGGTGGCACAGTGATTAGAGTGTTAGACCTGGAACAAGAAGACCTGAGTTCAAATCTGGCCACAGACGTTTGCTACCTGTGTGACCCTGGGCAAGTCACTTTACCTAAGTTTGCTCATCTATAAAATGAGGACTATAATAGCACCTACTTCCCAGGGTTGGTGTGAGGATTAAAGGAGATAATATTTGTAAAGTGCTTTGCAAACCTTAAAGTGCTATGGAAATGTGAGGTAGTAGTAGTAGTAGTAGTAGTAGTAGTAGTAGTAGTAGTAGTAGTAGTAGTAGTAGTAGTAGTAGTAGTAGTAGTAGTATGGGCTAGGAAGTTACTGAAGGCACTTCCAGCTCTGAGAGTCTATGATTCTACCAGACCAGTGTGATTTGCTGTCACTTAAAAACCAGATGTGTTTTGAAGTCCCTTTTGTCCAGTAGAACATTGGGACAGGACTGCCTGGCTCACCTCATCCCCCAGATCTCACCTGGTGAAGGTTCTCTGATAAATGGAAAGCCAGGCACTGTTTAGGATAAGATACCAATGGTCCGACCCTATCCTTATTAAATGCCACCAGTGAATTATGAATTTGTGTTAGAACGCATGTTGAAATAGCCGCGTTATTTGAATCATTAGTACAGGAGAGGCGTCTAAGGGCCTCCTGCAGGGGCGCTGAAAGACCCCAGCGAGGGGGCTGGGTAGAGGGGCAGGGAGGCCAGAGGAGGCGTTGAGAAGGCACTTTCTGCTCTTCCTTTCTAAGGAATTGAGCTGTTTTACTGAGACTGGTGACCCCCGAGTTCAGAAACAGCGGAGCTCTGATGGGGCGGTGTTGGGCTTGGGATGAGAGGGAGGAGAAGGCTGCAGGGGACTCTGGGAGCCAGCCCTTAACATGCACAGAGCACTTCACTTGTGTTCAGGTCTTTGGACCCAAGTTTGTTCTCCTACTTGAGAAGTCTTGGAGCTTAGATTTTAGAGCTAAAATGGGCCTGGGGACATCTTGTCCCTCTATCTGATTTTACACTGACCAGCTGGGTGGTTGTGGACTAGTCACCTTTTTTTTAGCTGTGACCAATCTGGGCAGTGTGTGATTTCAGGAAGTTAACAGGATTGGTTTAGCTTTCAGCCTGAAGGTCCCTGTTCTCAGTCAATCACCTGGTGGATTGGGCAGCTCTCTCTGTCTCTGTCTGTCTGTCTCTGTCTCTCTCTTCTCTTTCCTCTCTCCATCTCTCTCATCTCTCTTTTTCTCTCTATCTCTTTCTCCTCTCTCTCTTCTCTTTCTCCTCTCCTCTCCCACTCCATCTCTCCTTTGCTCCATCTCTCCCTCATATATAGAGATATGTATATATGCATACATATGTACTCTAGTATAGAACACATGTACATATATAATTACATAAATAATATCTATGCAAACAGCTTACTGGCTGCTGATGATCTGAGAGCCACAGTGTCTGACTCTGTAAGAACATGGCCATTTCTCTATCGGATGTGCAATCTTGTCCCCAGAAAAGCACGGGCAGAAGGGAATCTGTCACAGGCTGCTGTCCCTAGGGCCTGGCCATTAATTCCCAGGCCCTCCTCTGTCCTTGGCAGCCTTTTGCAGGCTAGTGCCAAGCAGTGGCTTGTAATGTTCTGTCAGAGGAGTAAAACAGGAGGCCTCTGCCCTCGAATTACCCATCAATGACCAGCCAGAGTGCAGGGGCACCAGACTTAGTTTTTTCATGGAAGAGCCAAGCAGATGGGCTGTTTCTAGCTACCCTGGGCATTGGTCAGTCCTGCAGCTTCATGGCATTCAGGGTTTATGGGGCAGGGGTGAAGTGGTGTTGGGGGGAGTGGGAGGAAGGAAGGTTTTCTCAGTTACTAGGAAGAGGAGGAGGAGATGCTGAGGGTGAGCTCCCCCCGCTCCAGCATCCCAGACAGGCTGGAGGCCTTTCCGCCTCTTGGGGCCTGTCATCTGGATTCCATAGATTATTAGCTATTATTATTATTATTATTATTATTATTATTATTATTATTATATTATTATTATTATTTACACCTCTAGGCCTTTGTACAGGCTTTTACCACTGTCTGGAATATTTTCTCTCCTCTTTCCTACCTCTTGGCATCCTGGGATTCCAACTTAGACATGCCTTTCCTGATCCCCTCACCCGTCTCTAAGAAATGACTTGGGCTTGACTTTGAATAGATTTAATGTTTACTTGTCTGAGGACATGTTGCTTCTCCCCAGTGGAGTGTAAGCTCCTTGAGGGCAGGGACTGTTTTTGTTTTTGTCTTTTTATTGTCATTACCTAGCATAGTGCCTTTCACATAGTAGGTACTTAAAACATATTTGGTGACTATTAGAGCTGGAAGTGACACAGAATGTGAGAGCTGGGAGGAACCTTAGAACAGGGGATGTCAGGGCTGGGAGGAACCTTAGAAAAGGAGATGTCAGAGCTGGGAGGGGCCTCAGAACAGGGGATGTCAGAGCTAGAAGGGACCTTGGAACAGGGAATGTCATGGCTAGGAGGAACCTCAGAACAGGGAATGTCAGAGCTGGAAGGGGCCTTAGAACAGGAGATATCAGGGCTAGGAGGGCCTTAGAACAAAGAATAAGGGAAAAACCTTAGAACAGAGGCCATCAGGGCCCAGAGTAGGTTAGTGGTTTGGAGAGGGGGCTTGTCTAGGCTCATATGACCAGAGCTGAAGTAGCCTTCAGAAGCGTCCTCATCTGAAGCTGTCATCTTAGAGATGACGTCTGCTGAGGCATTGAGGAGTGATCTACCCGAGGTCAGACAAGTAACAAGCCATAAAATCCCAAGCTTGGAAGGAACCTCCAAGGCTGTGTTGCCCAGCCTCCTTATTTTCCAGATGAGGAAGCAGAGGCCAGGAGAGGTGAATCATCCTCCTTTAGGCAGTGAGGAGCAGAATTATTGTCTCAGTCCATCTGGTCCCACACTCACTACCTCCAGATTCCCTCTATAACCTGGCAGTCATCCCACAAAGCTGTGTTATTCTAATCTCCCATCCTGCTCCCCATCTATATTATTAATTTGTTACATGACTTTGGACTTTACCTCTTAGACCTCAGTTTTTCCATCTGTGAAATGGAGGTGATAATAATCCCTGCCCTGCTTCCCCTGTCTGGGTTGATCGTGGAGGTCGGATGAGCCCACCGCTGCAAAGGGAGGTCTTGTGCATATGCTGGAAGGAGCCTTGGCTTGCTTCCCTGTACGTGGGACCCTGGGCATACAATGGGCTTCAGGGAGGAAGCTGGCGCTGCTCTCATCGACTCCTTGCCAAGGCCTCAGAAAATAGTGTGGCTTGTGTGTTAATAATTCACTCTCTCATAATCCTAGCCAGCCTGGCAGGGAAGGTTAACCCACCCATCTGCCTGTCTCCAGCAGGCCTGTGGGGCACCGTGTGCCAAGCAGAGTAGCAGAGGGAAGGTAGAAAGCCCTGGATGATAGCACGGAATAACAAAGAATGGGCAGACATTGGGTTGTGGCTACTGTAGTGATGATCTCCGGTCACTGTCCAGGATTAGGGGGTTTTGAATTTCAGGGCATTAAGGGCTTTTTGGATCTGAAATCTAGAGACATCTAGTTCAATCTCCTCATTTTACAGATGAGGAAACTGAGGCCCAGAGAAGGGGAAATGACTTCTCCAGGGTCACTGTGCAGCTAAGTGGCAGGGCTGGTATTCAAACCTAGGTTCTCTGACTCCCAATCCAGGGCTTTTTCCTGGACACCTATGAGCTCTTTTCCTCATCAGAATGAATGTGACTGTGAGTAAATATTTTACGAAGTGGCATGTTCTAGACACCAATCTGGTGGAAGAGGAGAGAACGGGAAGAGGGTTTCTTGAGTGGCCACCTTCCCACCCAGAAGCTGCTTGAATGGCTGAGACCCTTAAATGAGGCAGAATTCATGAACGGGACGTGAATCCTTGAATTCCCAGGGTGGAATGGACTCCCTTGAGAGATGGGGGAGGTTTTCCTCAGAAGTGTCTAAGCTAAGGCTGGATGAGTTGTGCCAAAGCCAGACTCTCTTCTGTGGGCTGCACTAGAGGGCCTCTGAGATCCCTTCCAACTTGAGGGACTGGTTAATGTCCCATCACCCACTGACCATCTGGATCTCTGATCCTCTGACCCATTTTATAGATGAGGAAACTTTCTCAGAGTCACTTTCATCGAATCACAGAATTAGAAGGGATCTCAGCAGCCATCTAGTCAAACTCATAACATGCCTGACAAGTGGTCTGCAGCTTCTGTTTGAAGATGCTCAGTGAGGTCAAGACTGTGACTTCTCCAGGCGACCCAACTCCCTTTGGGATAATTGTCATTGGGAAGAAATTTTTCCTGACTCTCACCTCTTTGAAACTTCCTTCCATTGCTCTTGTTTCTGCCCCGTAGGTCCACACAAAACAAGCCCAGTCCCTCAGTTTCCTTCTCTGGGCTAATGGGCTTCTAAGGTCCCTTCCAGGTCTGAATCTCTGCCCCCATGACTGTCTCCCCCACAGCTGCTGTGGAGGCATGTGTGCTGCATGGCCTGAGGCGCCGGGCAGCGGGCTTCCTTCGGAGCAATAAGATTGCAGCGTTGTTCATGAAGGTGGGGAAGAGCTTTGCCCCCGCAGAGGAGCTGTCCCGGAAGGTCCAAGACCTGGAGCAGTTGATTGAGAATGCGTAAGTGAGGGTGGGCATGGCACTGCCATGGATCATGGTTAGTGCTCTCCCATCCCAACGTTTTCCAAGGTCAAAGTCAAGTGGAAATGAACGTGGGGCAGCTTTGATGGAAGGAATCCTTCCTGAGGAAGTTGGCTTTTCTCCCTCTCTGAAGCTCCTCACCATGCTAGAGTGAGGCGGGGAAGAGAAACACAGCAGGGTAGATGGCCCAATTTCATTTTCCTTCACTTAACAGACATTATTAATAGATGTGATTAATTTATCATCCACTGGTCCCATGCTGTGGAAGTTAGAAAAGTCATATAAGGCCGGATCCTTGACACGGTCAATGTAAGAATTTGTTTTGCTTGACTGTACTCATTTATTTCAGACTTGGTTTTGTCTTTTCATCCTGCCTCCCCTCCCCCACTACTTGGTGGAGGGGGACGGGGAAGGAGAAAAATACATATTGATTAAAAGTAAAACAAAATAAAAAATTTTTTAAAGACAAGGTCCCTGAGTTTATAGAGCTTACAGTCTAACATGATAGCTCTCCTCCTCTTCTCTCTTCTTAGAATCTGGTAAGTCATTCACACCTTAGTCTGAAAGAGTTCCTGTTTTCTCTTTCCAAGGAGAACTTGCATTTAAAGCTTGTTGCTCTCTCAGTTTTCACTGAGGAAGAGTTCTCTTCCTCAACTAGGAAGGGATTTCAGTCTTCACCTTGCCAATTTTGTATCTGGGTGTTCTTCCCAAGTCCCCAAAATCCTTATATGCCCTAACCTCCTTCTTGAGAGGCAGCATGGGAAAGGGAAGGGAATAAGCATTTACAGAGCACCTGCTGTGTACCAATAACCATTCTAAGTACTTTACAATGCTGCAAGATAGGAGCTGTTATTATCTCCACTTTACAGTTGAAGCAGACAAGGGTTAAGTGACTTTCCCAGGGTCACGCAGTGTCTAAGGCCAGATCTGAATGCAGGTCTTTCTGACTCCAGGTTCAGCACTCTCTGCATTGTACAAAGTGCCTGATGGCACGGGGGATAGGGTGATGTACTTTGAGTCAAGAAAATCTGGGTTCGGATCCTACCACAGATACTTATTAGATGTATGACCCCAGGCCAGTCACTTAACCTACATCTGTAAAATGGTAGAGTTGGGCTCGATGGTGTTCTGAGGTCCCTTCCAACTCTAAATCTATGATGTTAGGATGGCCTTGAGTTGGCTGTTGGGGAGCCTGGGGGTGTGGGAGGGCTGTCTCATGGCAGGCTGGGGCCCTGGTGTGGGGAAACTTCCTAAATCAGCCTTCACGTCTCTCTGCTCTGTCACCAAAGGCGGAACCAGCTCCAGGGTCTCCAGGAGAATGTTCGGAAGCTCCCCAAGCTGCCCAACCTGTCCCCCCCAAGCCCTCAAGCACCTCTGGATCCGCACGGCCCTGTTCGAAAAGGTCTTAGATAAAATTGTGCATTACCTGGTAGAGAACAGCAGGTGAGCCTGGGAGATGGGCTGGGATAGGGAAGGGAGGGAGAAAAGGGCTACTTCCCACAATGGCTCTTCCCTAAACAGGGCCCATATTGTACTCAACAAACATTCATAATCAACATCTATGAGTTACTAGGCACTGTACACACAAAGACCCTGCCCTCAAGAAGCTTACATTCCGTTGGAGGGGACAGTGGGTACGCAGAAGACAGTGCGGGGTGTTAGGGAGTGGTGGGGGCCAAGGAGAGATCTTGATCAGATGTTTTAGAGAAAATCAGGGCAGGGAATCAGAGGAGGCTTCCTACACACTGACTTTGGAGTCAGAGGCTTTGGTTTAAAAGTCCACCTTTGTCTTCGATATCTATGACTTTAGGTAAGTCAGTTCTATCTCTGTAAAATGAGGGGTTCGGACCGATGGTCCCCAAGGTCCCTTTCAGCTCTGAAAGTGTTATCCTTCCATCCTAAGGATTCTGAAAGGTAGAGGTAAGAAAGGAGGGTGTGCTAGGCATGAGGGACAACCACTGCAACGGCACCGAGGTGGGAGATGATGTTTGCCTGGGACAGAGAATGCATGGTGTGAAATACTCTTAAAAGGGGACCTTCCAGCCAGCTTGTAAGAAAGCCTTGAATGCCATGTCAGAGATTCCTTCCCATCTGATATTCTTCCTAAATCTTATCTCATTCCCTCAGAGTAGTGGGAAGCCAATTCAATATATTGCATATTGGCATTCCCATTATTACTTCTTCAGCTAGCGCTTCCATATGCAGGGCACAGTTACAGAATAAACTGTTGGGTCCCTCAGAGCTGTATCTCAGGGTTTGTAAGCTGCTTGAGGGCAAAGACTGCTTTGTTTTGCTCTTTCCATAGCTGATGTTAGTATTGTGAGGTTCAGATGAGATAATATACATTTAAAAAATAAGTTATTTTTTGTAAATTGTAAAGCGCTCTGTGATGTGCACTGCCTTGTCAGTGGCATTTCTTTGGGTTGTGTGGATTTGTTCCTTCTTCTGTGAGCCATTAAAACTGATGCCTCCTTTACGTTCCTGTTAGTAAGTACTATGAGAAGGAAGCTCTCCTGATGGACCCCGTTGACGGCCCCATCCTGGCTTCTTTGCTAAGTAAGTCCTTCCTCTCCCCTCACCCCCTTATAATCTCCAGCTTCCTTCAAAGCCCAGCTCAGCCTTCTCTGCCTACTTAAAGCTTTTCTTGAAAGTCTCTTCATCCCCATCCCCATTTATTAGGACTTTATTTTGTATTTATATACCTGATAAATATTGTGTTCTCCAGCAGAGTAAGCTCATTAGGGACAGGGACCGTTTATTTGTGTCTCTGGCTCTTACTAGGCATATAATAAATGCTTATTCAGTTTAACAAATATTTATTAAGCATCAGCTACATGCCAGGCACTCAGTGCTAAGCAGTGGGGTTACCAAACTGTAATGATGCCTGCCCTCAGGGAGTGTCTGCTCTGTTAGTTCTCAGGATTCTCTGGCAGGCAGAAGGGCTGGGAGAGCTGGGCCCTGGCCTGGCTGTTTGGGCTCTGATGTTTCACTCTGCCCCCAGTGGGCCCCTGTGCACTGGAGTATACCAAAATGAAGACAGCAGACCATTTCTGGACGGACCCCTCAGCTGACGAGCTGGTCCAGCGGCATCGTATCCATAGCTCCCACCTCCGCCAGGACTCTCCCACCAAGCGCCCAGCACTTTGTGTGAGGAGGACTTGGGGATCAGGCTGGGGAGAATGGGAGGGGGAAAGGGCGGCGGAGATGGGGCTTGGGGCTCAGAACATCCCTTGAAACCCCCTGCATCTCATTCCTCTCTGCCCCCATCCTCCCAGATCCAGAAGCGCCATTCCAGCGGCAGCATGGACGACCGGCCCTCTCTCTCTGCCCGGGACTACGTGGAGTCCTTGCATCAGAATTCCCGGGCCACTCTCCTCTATGGCAAGAACAATGTCCTGGTGCAGCCGGTGAGTGCCAGACTGAGCTCTGGGCCTGACGGGACTCGTTTGTCAAAAAGGAGAACCACCCAGCTGTGACCTCCTGTAGGTCCATCCCTTGTCTCTGGTTGCTTACTGGTATTCCTCTCTTATACCAGTAGGCCCTGGAATCTGGGTGCCATTCGGGGTTCCACGAAACAAGAATCTTTGAACACAATAGCTTACATTTTTATAAGTAATATATAATAACATCAATATATTAATATAATAAATTAATAAAACAGGTTTTGGTTTTTAATTTTTAAAAATTAAAATATTAAAATTTAAAATTTTAATTTTTAAAAATTTATTTCATTAAATATTTCCCCAATTTTTTTTTTTTGGTTCTTGTTCAGACACGTCTGACTCTCTGTGATCCCATTTGAGATTTTCTTGGCAAAGATACTGGAGTGGTTTGCCATTTCCTTTCCCAGCTCATTTTACAGATGAAGAAACTGAGACAGAGAGGGTTAAGTGACTTGCCTAAGGTCACATTACTGAGTGTCTGATTCCGTATTTGAACTCAGGGAGATGAGTCTTCCTGCCTCTAGGCCTGGCACTCTGTGCACTATGGCGCCACCTGTCCTCCCCTATAAGATTATCTCTCTTCTATTCTGTGTGTATCTTATGTGTGTTTAGACACATTGTCTCCCCAATTAGAGTGGGAGCCCTCTGAGGGCAGGGACTATTTTTCTTTTTCTTTCTTTCTTTCTTTTTTTTTTTGCCTTTCTTTATATCCCCGTTGCCATGGGTTGTTGAGCAGTCGACTAACTGACACACAGAATATTGAGCCACGTGCTTCTATGGCCCTTCCGACCCTGGGGCTCTGTAACCTCGGGCCATTTGACCCCAAATCCAACGTCCCTTCCATTATTCTACATTGTTAGAACCGACTGTCTCCTCCCTGTCCCCACCTCCTCCCAGCTGGCCCGTAGACTCTTGGCCATTATCCCATGTCCTCCTCATCTCGGTCCACTGAAAGACTCCCTGGGGCTCAGCTCCTTAGCTGGGCTTGGCAGGGGACTGCGGAAGGAGATTGTGTGATTGTGTCTGACCATCAAGGACAATGGGGTCTCGGAACGTGCCTCCCGTCGGACCAGGCTCTCCTCTTGTTCTCTGGCTTTTGTTGTCAAGAGCTACCATCACCATGGAAACCCTGAGGGCTGCTGCTGGGCCTTTCTCACTGAAACTGGCAGTGATGGGGAGGAGTATGGTCAAGACCATCCGTTCGGGTTCCTGCTGGTGCAGCCACGCAGGCAATGAGGCAGACAGCGTTGGTGAAGGGGAAGGGGCACTGAATTTGGAAACCAGTCCTGCCTCTGGCATCATTTCCAATCTGCTCGATTTCAGACCAGTCACTCACCTCCCTGGGTTGCAGTTTCTTTCTTTATAAAACTAGGGGATTACACTAAATGGGAAGGTCCTTGCCAGCTCTAAATCTGTGCTCCTGGGAGCTTAGCTGTGTGACTTTGGACAAGTCACTTAACCCTTCTTGGCCTCAGTTTCCTCATTTGTGAAAGGAGGGCGTTGGAGTAGACAGCATGTAAGGCCCTTTCCAACTCAATGATCCTATGATCTTAATGGGATCTTATGAGGATTGGAGGCTTCTTTTTTTCTCTTATAAATCAAAATGTTTATAGAAGGACTTTTTGGGGTAGCAGAGAACTGGAAAAAAGGTAGATGTCCGTCATTTTGGAATGGCTGCACCAAATGTACATGAATATAATGAAATACATATTCTGGAGGCTTCTTAAAGGAAACTGTCTGACCCTGGGCAATTCACTATTTAAATAGCTATTATTATTCATCAGAACCTGAATTTTCATAACTGTAGCAAATTCTGAGTGGATATTCATTCTGCCGATTTGGATTAGTGACTCATTTGTGGCAAATGGTCATAGAGAGCTGCCTGGGGCACTGAGATGTGGCTTATGCAGGGTCACTCAGAACTGAACCCATTTCTTTTTAGCTTCAAGGCTAGATCTCTATGCACCACCTCATGCTGCCTGACAATGATAACCCACTCCTTCCTCCCCTCCACCTCTTAGACCCTCTGGTTCCCTTCAAGTCTCAATCCAAACCCCACCTCCTACATGAAGCCCTTTAAAAATTTTATTTATTTTTAGTGTTAATTTTAAAAAATTGAGTTCCAAATTCTCTCCCTTATTTTACCCTCCTCCCTCATCTTTTAAGAAGACAAGCAATATGACATCGATTATATGTGTGAAGTCATGCAAAGCATATTTCCGTATTTGCATGTTACAAAAGAAAACATGCGCACACACACACACACACACACACACACACACACACACAAAACCTCAAGAAAAATAAAGAAAATGAAAAAAATCTGCTTCAGTCTGTACTCAGAACCCATCAGTTCTCTCTCTGGAGGTGGAGCACATTTTTTATCATGAGTCATTTGGAATTGTCTTGGATCATTGTATCCTACATGAAGTCTTTCTGGAGCCTTTTGTAACCCCTCAATTACTTTGTATTTACTTCGTCTATATGTTGTATTTGACATAGTGGATAGAGAACCATCCTGTAAGCCAGGATGATCGGGGTTCAAATCTCCTCTTTGACCCGTATGACCCTGGGCAAGTCTCTTAACATATCTTTGTCTCCCAGGCAGCTCTCTAAGATTAAGAGGTGCTGCCCTGCATTAGTAGAGAATTTCCTCACTGGGAGTTTCCAACACGAGTGAAGTCACAGATTTAAAAAAAAACTATTTTAATATAGTATATGTTTCCACTAATAGAATGTATGCTCCTTGAGGGCAAGATCTAGTTCATTCTTTGTCTTTGTTTTCTTAGCACCTCAGACAGTTCCTCACACATAAGTTACTTTAAAAATCTGTGTTGATTGATTAACTAGTATTGATCCAGGCAACATGGCGGTATAGTGGATAGAGTCAGGAATAGCTGAATTGGAATCCGGCCTCAGACACCATCTGTGTTGACCCCTGGGAAAGTTGCTTAACTTTTCTCAGCCTCAGATTCCCCATCTGAAAATGGGAATAATAATAGCATCTACCTTACAGGGTTGTTCTTAGGATCAAATGAAATAGTGTATATAAAGGTCTTTGAAAACTCTTAAATAAATGCTGTCACCATCATCATCACCATTTTGTGCCGTAGTCAATGCTCAATCGCTCCCCTTTCTCCCCGCCTCTCCTAGAGGGATGACATGGAGGCCGTTCCTGGGTACCTGTCTCTACACCAAACTGCTGATGTCATGACCCTGAAGTGGACCCCCAACCAGCTGATGAATGGCTCAATGGGAGACCTGGACTATGAGAAAAGGTGACTGACCCAATGTGGCCGTTCTCTTGGTCTCTCTGAGGACTGATGGGGTGAGGGGTGGGGGGACCTTGGCCTTGGTGATGGAGACGGGGTAGACCTACCTTCTAAGGCATTTGGATGGCTCAGTAGGTAGAACTCCAGGCTGGAATCAGGAAGATCTGAATTCTAATCCTGTTTTAGCCATTTACTAGCTGTGTGACCTTAGACAAATTGCTTAACCTACCTTAGATTCAGTTTCTTCTTCTGTAAAATGCAAAGGTCTCTTCTTGTTCTAAATATATGAGCCCATTTTAATTGATCCAGCACCTGGAAATTTCCTCTGCATTTGGGTTTTTGGTTCTGATGAAGGTTCTGAACTTTGTTGCTCTCTAACTGATGAGGAAATTGAACCTGGTCCTCAGAGAGGGTATAACAGGGCCTCATTATGCTGAGATGGTAGAGAGATCCTGGATTCACATGAGCCTACCTGCCTGCACACCTCCAATGAGCTGACCTAGATCTTCACCGCTAGAGCCTGTGACCCCTATACTTCTGTCTTGGCTGAGACCTCTATTGGGTGGGGCTCCTGGGGCCTAAACATGAGGAAGGCTGGACTTTTCATCCCTGTTTTGCCACCAACTAGTGGTCTCATTGGAAAAGACCTCGCCCAGTCCAATCCCATTGTTTTACACAAATGAGGAACAAATGAGTTTACTGGCTCAAGTCAAGTCAAAAAGTATCAGTTTTCTTATCTGTAAAATGGGAAGAATGATTGTAAGAAAAGCATTTTTTCAAACCTTAAAATACTATAAATTATTATTAATTCTGTCATTATTATTTTTCATCTGTAAAATGAGAGGTCCCTAGGGTCCCTTCCAAGTCTGACATTCTCTGTTTTGAAAGCCCCTTCTATGGTTCTAATGCTCTATCAAGCAGTCAATGTGCATTTATTTAGTGCCTGCTGTATGCCAGGCCCTGTGCCAGATGCTGGGAGGTGGGTTACAAATAACCCAGAATGAAACAATCCCTGTCTATAAGAAGCTTACATTCTAACAGATCTGTGTGATCAGGCCCTCCTCAGCTCTGGTTCTCTGGTTCTGTGGTTTGTTATCTCTTCCCTGACCCCTCATGGGGGCGCAGTGGGGCCTGGGGTTGTTCTAATGAGTATTCTCATCCCCCACAGCCATCTTTCTGGTTCCTAAGAGTCCCTGCTTGAATAGATGATATTCAGGGAAAATGTGAGCACCAGGATGAGGAGAATGCATAGAATCTCTGGAGTTCCCATGGGTACAGGGAGTTGGGGGGTGGTGAGAGGTGTGGCCGCTCTGATCGGTTGTGTTTGGGGGTTATTCGCTTTCCTTCCCGTCCCCCTCCTGCCTTTTCCAGTCCTCAGGAGAGGCTGCTGGTGAGGAAAATGAGACTCCAAGAAATTAAGTGATTTACTGAGGGGTTTAGCAGCTAGTTAAGTGTTTGAGGCAGGTTTCAAACCTAGGCCTTCCTGCACTGTCCACCAAATTCACTGCCCTATCCAGCCTATCCACTTTGCCTTTCAAAGTAGGGGATCTAGAGCACTAGCCATTATTCCTTTTATAACTTGGCAGGCTCTAGCAGGGAGAGAAAATCAGAAACTTTGAAGCATCAGGGCTTTAGAGACCCTTTTATAGATGAGGAAAACTGAGGTCCAGAGAAGTGAGTTGCTAGTGTCACAGCCTGCTATTGGCAGGGCCAGGAATAGGACTTAGGGCTTTTGACTCACAGGCCAGTGTTCTTTAAAAAAATTGGGGGCAGCTAGGTTGTGCAGTGAATAGAGCACCAGCCCTGGAGTCAGGAGGACCTGAGACACATGATACTCACTAGCTGTGTGACCCTGGGCAAGTCACTTAACCCTAACTGCCGCACCAAAAAACCCAAAACAAAACAAAACAAAACAAAATTTGGAGGGTGGGATGGTCTGCACCTAGGATTTCATTGATCCAATGAAGAAATCCTCTTCCAATGCTAGTGATCAGACTTCCAGACTAGAGACCCTGGGCAAGTCATTTGATCAGTTTGCCTCAGTTTCCTCATCTGTAAAATAGGTATGACATACCTACTTCCCACAATTGTTGTGAGGATCAAGTGACATCATAATTGTAAAGTGCTTAGCATAATGCCCGGCACAAAGTTATGGCTGCTACTACTACTACTACTACTACTACTACTTTTACTGTTATATTCCCTGAAACTTAAGAGTCATTAGAAACTTGTCTAGGGTCTCAAGAGGTTAAGTGACTTGCCCAGAGTCACACAGACAGTATGTGTCAGAGGGAGGATTTGAACCCTCTACCCCCATTCCATACTGCCTTGCATTTTAAAGGTTGCAAAGCAGTTTACATACATTGTCTCATTTGATCTTTACACTGACTCTAGGAGGTGAGTACATGTTGTCTCCTCCATTAAAATATAAGCTCCTTGAGGTGAGGTACTGATTTCACTTTTTCTTTGTATTCTAATCCCTTAACACAGAAAGCCCTTCATAAATGCTTATTGATTCATTGATAGGTATCATTATACCCATTTTACAGATGAGGAAGCTGAGACTCAGAGACATGGAATGACTGGTCCATGGCTTCTACCACATCCTATTTCTTGGGGATCATATATTATAATGGTGATAGCCAGTATCTACATAGTACATTAAGGTTTGCAAAGTGCTTTGCAAATATTGATTTTTTTTCCTCACAACAACCTTGGAAGGTATCCCCATTTTACAGATGAGAAAACTGAGGCAGACAGAGATTAAGAGATTTGCCCAGGGTCACATATCTGAGTTATCAGATTTGAACTCGTATCTTCCTGGCTCCAAGTTCAGCTTCCTGTCTGCTGTGCCATCTAGTTGCCTCAGTAGGCATGTACCTTAGAGGGGGACCAGAATCACAGTACTTGTGTTCCTTTGATTGTCTTTCTTTTAGGGCATCCAAGAATGTGGGGCAGAAGGAGGCTGGGATGGGTCAGTTACCTTTAAAATCCATTCATCCATTTATCCCCCATCTCTTATAGCATAGTGGAGAGAATGTTGGGCTTGGCTTCAGGAAGACCTTGGTTCAAATCCCATCTTAGCCACTTAATAGCTGTGTGACCCTGGGCAAGTCACTGAAGCCCTCTACTATGCAGCTTCCTCATTTGTAAAATGAGGCAGTTGGCTTCAGTGACCTTCTATGGTCCCTCTACAGCTCTAAATCCATGATTTCCTCCCAGGTCGTCCATAAGACGAATATGGGATCTTCCACTTAGACTGATGGGGATGCAGAAGGGGGAAATTTGATCTGGGATCTGACTTCATTTAAAATTTTGGTTTTCTATTTTCCTTGCTGTCTTGTTTAACTCTCTTCTTTGGCCCTCACTCAGGTGGGCTGGTGAGGAGGCAGCATTTCAATTCAGCACGCACCCTTCACTGTTCCCCGCTCCCCCTTCCTCTATTCCGTCTCTCCGTGACAAGTGGTTATGTTGAGCATCTCCTGTGTGCTTTGGCACTGTCCTAGGTACTAGACTGGGCAGTACCTGCTCTGCTTGCTTGATCATAGGAGAGGTTCCTAGGCTCCTAAATCTAGGACTGAAAAGGACCTCAGAGGACTGGACCCCAGCCTATCATTTTACAAGTGAAGAAACAGGACTGGAGAGGTGACTCACTCAAGGTCATAGAGCTAGTGTCAGAGGTAGGATTTGAACCCAGGTCCTCTGATTTCAGAGCTCTCCACCCTACTACACTGCCATTTGGGTACGCATTCCCTCATTGAATCCCTCCCAAACAGCTCCACTTTCCAGTTCTATTTCTCATATTCCTCAGTGACTGGATAGGAGAAGATGAGGGTATCCCTAGCCTCCAGTTATCTCCAGCTCTGGCTTCAGGACAGAACCCTTCTTATCACTCTCCATTTCCCAGCCTTGGTTCTGGAAGTGGCCTGGAGGATGTCCTTCAGCAAGACTTGCCCAGAGCATTTCCCTTTCCCACAGAGGTCATCTCCTAATGAGGGTCCTCTATGGGCAAGCAACTATCCCGAGTTACTGACTTACGGAATCTCAGAGCTTGACGGCATCATCTCAGTGGCCGTCTAGCCCAAACCACACCTGAATAGGACTCCTCTCTTAAATAACCCTGACAAATGGTCCTCTCACCTTTGCTTGTAGATCCCTATGAGGGGGAACGCTTCGCTTTCTGAGGCAGTCCAGTCTACTTTAAGACAGCTCAAATTATTAGGCAATTTTTTCTCTACCTCCAACCTAAATTTGTCTCTTGGCAGGGTCTAATCATTGTTCCTATTTAGGGTGATAGATTTAAAGCAGGAGGGGACTTTAGCGGTCATCTAGTCCAATCCTCTTGTTTCATAGATGAAGAAACTGAGGCCCAGAGAGGTTAAGTGATTTTCCCAATGTCCCACAGCTAGTAAGTGGCAGACTGGATTTATCTCCATAGTTATTTGTTATCTCCCTCTGCTGGTGATCTGGGGACAAGCAGCTCTGGAACCAGTAAGACCATCTCTTCCAAGTCAGCTGGGCAAGTCCCCAAGATGCCAGCTGGGCAGCCTTCACCAGAGGCTACTTGCCCCTTCCCTGCCCTGGAGATGTTCTGTTCCCCTGGAAGAGTCTTCCTTGTGCCTCCTTCCCCTATTCTATCTCTCCCAGAAACCACAGGGCATGAAGAGCTCAGTGGAAGGCAGCCCCCCAGTAGATTTCTGGGAACCCTATTTTGAGAAGGTAAACTAGAAAGCGGCCAAAGGAGGGTGACTGGCTGGGATCAGGAAGCCAGTTAATATTTCCTTGGTGGAGAAACCATCCTCCTCAATCATCCCATTTAAAAAACCAAACTAGGGATCAGGAATTCCTCAGGACATGCCAAAAATCAATCAAAGAGCATGCTTTAGAAACCACTTTCTGTCATGGATGGGTTTGTCCAGAGGTCTGCTAACATGGTTTCTGACCTAAGATGCTGAAATTCTGATTTTGGTGATTTTTGATTCCGATTTTAAAACGAGATGATTGATGGGGTTGGTTTCTCTGGTGGGGGAACGTTGGCTAGCTTGGTAGCTTACCTTTCTGCTGTACATCACAGTTTTGTAAAGCCCTTTCAGTCTGTCAGCTAGCATTTATTAAGTTTCTGCTATGTTCCAGGCATGATGCTAAGTGCATTGGGGTAGGTAGTGAAGGCAATAATAGTTGTCATCATCACCATCATCATCATCGATGAAATTTATCAAGTGCTTTAAGATTTCCAAAGCCCTACACATACATTATATTTCAGCCTCATAGAAATTTTTTGAGTTATTTGTAATTATTATTATCAACCCTGTTTCACAGATTAGGAAACTGAGGCTCACAGAAACTTCTTGCTCAGAGTGGCCCAGCTTGTAATTGTCAGAGGTGAACTTTGAACTCTGGCCTCTCATGAGTTCAAGTACAATATTCTCTCAACTATATCACATTGGCATTTTATGCATAAAGAGACAATCTATCTATCTATCTATTTATCTATATCTGTCTATATATACTATATATGTACACATGGAGAGAGAGAGAGAGATTGAAAGAGCATGATAGAAGGCATAGAGTCTTTGACTAGAGAGTCAGGAAGATATGGGTTCGAATTCTGCCTTTTACACTTACTAGCTATGTAATCTTGGGTAAATCACTTTATGACTGAACCTTTGTTTTCTTATATGTAAAATAGAGAGTCATAGGATTATCTACTTAGACCTAGAAGGAATATTAAAAGTTGTCTAGCCTAGCCCACTCATTTTATAAATGAGGAAGCTGAGACCTAGAAAAGTGAAATGACCTCCCTAAGGTCCTACAGCTAATAAGCTATAGTCCCTCAATCTCAGAGCTGCTGTGAGGCTCAAGTAGCATACGCAAATCTCCTGGCAAAAATTAAAGCTCTATATAAATTTCATTGATTAAATTTTGTTAATTGATTATTATTATTTCAATCTTCTTACATCATGATTCCTGTTATTGTGCAGCAAGCCAGAGCTGTGGATAGAGCTCTATTATGAAGAGCTGAGTTGAAATCTAGCATCAGAATTTACTAGCTGGGCGACCCTGGGCAAGGCACTTAACCATTGTTTGCCTCAGTTTCCTCATCTGTAAGATGGAGATCATAGTAGCACCTTTTCCCCAGGGTTGTTGTAAGGATCAAGTGGGAATATTTGTGAAGCACTGAGCACAACCACTGGCACACAGTAAGTGCTGCATAAATGTTAGCTACTATTATTGTTATTATTATTATGTGTCTTATCTCTCTGATTGGATTATAAGCCACTTGAGGGCAGGGGCAATTTCTCTCTCTCTCTCTCTGAAAGGCAATAGGAGTTGTGACTTGCCCAGGGCCACACAGTAAGTGTCAAGCATTTGAATCCGGATTTGAACTCAGGTCCTCCTTGACTCTAGGGTCGCTGTACCCACTGCACCACCTAGCTGCCCCAGCAGTCTCTTATTCTGAGAGGCAAAATGGGTTAGAATAATCGTAAGATTGTGATATCATAGATGGAGAGATGGAAGGTATTTCAGAGGGAATCTGGGTCAAATATCTTTATTTTACACATGAGGACCCTGAGAGCAGGGTCCAGAGAGGTTAAATAACTCGTCCAAAGTCACACAGGCAGTAAGTCGTGGAGGCAGAATTTGAACTTGAGTCGTCTGATTTGAGAGATAGTATTCTTTTCATTCTTCCACCACCATCACTAGTAATGATGATGATGATGACGACGACAACTAGAATTTATATAGCGCTTTAAGGTTTGCAAAGTACCGTACAAATATTCCCACTTGATCCTCACAATGACCCTGGGAGGTAGGCATGTATCCCCGTCCAGTTGGAGAGAAGACGTGTGTGCACAGATGTGGCCACTGTGGTACCAGCTGTTTTTAGACTAGCAGGAGAAGTCTTTGGAATTGAGGCTGGTGCCATTCGAGGAAGCCTGTGCTCTGAGGTGGCTGAGGAAGCCTTCCAGGGACCTGCCACCCATTGTCAACGTGGACAATGGGAGCCATGGGGGATCTCATACAAGCAAGAGGCCCGGGCCCCTGGGAGCACTTGGAGGCCTTGTTTCTCAGGGCGGGGCTGGATAAGTGGATGCTCTTGATAAGCCTGGAAAGGAAGTTTGTCTCAAAATCGCCTTCAAAGGAAGAAAGGCCTGGGGTTGCTGGGCTGCTCTCTAGGGAGAAGCAGTTTGTTTTCAGCCTGTAAGTGGTTCATCCGAGGGGGCAAGGAGGGAAGTGAAGGTCGAGAACACATGAGCTAGGGAGGGTGCATAGATGGATGGATGGATGCACAAATACATGTGTGTGTATGGAGATATAGAGACAGACACATCTGTGCATGTTTGTATATAAAGACACACGTGTGTATGTAGAGATATATATATGCATGTATATATAAAGATACGTGTATATATAGAAACGTATAAGCATATTTATATATAAAGACACGTGTGTGTGTGTATATAGATGCTTATATGCATGTAAGACATGTGTGTATAGAGAGACACATATATGCATGTATATAAAGATGTGTATGTGTGTATGTATATAGCCACATACACATGTATGTATAAAGACACACATGTGTATAGAGAGAGACATATATGCATGTATACAAAGATGTATGTATATAGTCACATATATGCGTGCATACATATAGACACGTATGTGTATATAGAGACGTATAAGTATGTTTATATATAAAGACATATGTGTGTATGTATATGGGTGCTTATATGTATGTAAGACATGTGTGTGTATAGAAAAACACATATATGCATATATAAAGATGTGTATGTAGAGACACATATATGCATGTGTATGTAAAGACACATATATGCATGTGTATGTAAAGACACATGTGTATAGAGACGTATATGCATGTATATAAAGTTGTATGTATATAGACACATATATGCATGTGTATATAAAGACCCATATGTGCATATAGAAAGATGTTATGCATATAGACACATATATGCATGTACATGTAAAGACGTGTGTATAGAGAGACATACATGCATGTATATAAAGATGTGTGTATTTATGTATATAGCCACATGTATGCATGTGTATATAAATGCACATGTGTGTAGAGAGACACATACATGTGTGTATATAATATGTATGTATCTATGTATGTAGACACATATATACATGTGTATATAAAGACATATATGTGTGTATATAGAAATATATAAGCATGTTTATATATAAAGACATATGTATGTATGAATATGGATGCTTGTATGCATGTAAGACATGTGTATAGAGAAACACACATATGCATATATAAAGATGTGTATGCATGTATATGTAGACACATATACACATGTTTATATATAAAGACCATGTGTGTATGTATATGGATACTTATATGCCTGTAAGACACATGTGTATAGAAAGATACATATATGCATGTACCTAAAGATGTGTGTGTATTTATATAGACATATATGCATGTGTATATAGACGCATGTATCATGTTTATATATAAAGATACATGTGTGTATAGAGATACATGTATGCATATATATAAAGACACATGTATATATATATAGATACATATGCATATATAAAGACATGTATATAGAGACACATATATGCATGTTTATTATATATATACATATGTAAAGACATATATGTGTATACATATATACACAAAGAGAGAGAGAGATGGACACATACATAGTTCTTGTTGGGGATACAAATACAAGGAAGACAATTTCTGTAGTTTAGTGGGTAAAGACTGGGCAAGTCACTTCACCCTGTTTGCCTCAGTTTCCTCATCTGTCAAATGGGCTAGAGAAGGAAATGGCCAGCCACTTCCAGTATCTTTGCCAAGAAAACCCCAGATGGGGCCATGAAGAGTCAGACGCAGCTGAAATGACTGAACAGCAAGGGAAGGAGGAGGTAGCCAGGATGTGTCGCACAGCCTTGATTCCTGGCAAAATAAGCCTCACCTATCAGAGGTCTGACATCCCCAGGGCAGGTCCAGGGTTCTAGTGGGAGACAGATAAGGGTGACGGATGATGGGCCTGAGGGCAGATGCCACTCTCCAAGTTCCTTTCTGTTTGTGGGGAGGGAGGGGACTTGGGAAAATCCATAATGGGCTGACCTTTCTGACCCAGGCCCTCCTTCTCTTTCAGTGTGTACTGGGACTATGCCATGACCATCCGCCTGGAGGAGATTGTCTATCTGCACTGCCATCAGCAGGGTAAGGACTGCCTGGAGGAGGTGGCCCTGGGGGCTGGGGGTCGGATCTCCCCGGCCTGTGTCGATTCCCTGTCCAGAGACCCCAGGCTGCCTAGCTGAGTATTGTGGCCAGACCCTTTCTAGGATGATAAGATCCTGGATCTGAGCTTGAAACGTCCCAGGACCCCTTATTTTGTAGAGGAGGACTTGTTCAAGATCACCCAGCAAAGCTAAAATTTTAACCCAGGCCCTCCATATCCACTGTGCCACACTGCCTCAACATGTCTCAATAACGATGACAATGACAACAGCTGGTACTTGTATTGGGCTTTAAAATTTACAAAGTGATACACACAGACACACACACACACACACACATACACATATATGATCTCAGTGGGTCCTCACAACCCAAAGAACGGTGCTATGATTATCCCCATTTTACAGATGAGAAAACCAAAGATGATAGCTGAAGGGACTTGTCCAAGGTCCCAGAGCTAGTAAGTGTCTGAGGAAGGATTTGAACTCAGGTTCACTTAAAACAGTCTCATCTCTTCAGAGTGGCACAGCTCTGAGTGATGAATGCCCATGAACAGGTCCTCACTTGAGTGTATTCATTTAGTCAGCATTTATTAATTCCTGCTTGTGACCCTGGGGAGTCACCTAAATTCCCTGGGCCTCAGGGCTTGGCCTCCATGGCCTCTGAGGTCCCTGCCAGCTCCAGATCTGTGGTCCTGTGACTCTCCAGTGCTTCCTCCTGTGACACGCCCTCTTCTAAATCAGATGATTCTGAGCCCCTTGCTTCAAGCCTTGGTCTCGGCCTGCTGGATGTTCTTCTGGGCCCTGAGTCCATAATCCTGGGAGAAACAAGCCATAGAAACTCACAACCAAGAGTCAAGTGATCAACAAATACAAGCAATTATTAAGCACCTACTGGACACCAGGCCCCGTGCTGGATTCTGGGCGTACTAAGACTGGCATGATACAGTTCCTGCCCTCAAGAAGCTGACATTCTATTGGGGTGGACAGCATAGGAATGTATTTAAAAAAACATAAGCTAAATGCAAGAGGTTAAACAGGCTGGAAATGTAAATAGACAAGAATAAATCCGTGGGCGATGGGTTCACCAGTGGCCCCACTGAAGGAAGACAGAACTGTTCAAGGACATCTCTGACTTTCTAAGGTTGATATCCAGCAGAAGCTGAGCTCTCTGCGTGAAGGGATTCTTTGTTGTTTTCTTTTCTGTTTTGGTCTCCCTAGCACTTAGCAGAGTCTGTGGTATGTCGTTGGAAGGAAACAGACATTTATTAAGCACTTTTAATAATGAGCACATTTTGGGGCCAGCTAGGTGGCACACTGGCCCTGGAATCAGGAGGACCTGAGTTCAAATCCAGCCTCAGATACTTGACGCTTACTAGCTGTGTGACCCTGGGCAAGTCACTTAACCCCATTGCCCTAGCCAACAAAAAAATAATGAGTACATTTCTAATAACAACAAGATTTCGTGCTTGCCATGTGCCAGGCACCGTGTTATATACACTTTAAAAATACCTCATTTGGTGCTCACAACAACCCTAAGGAGGGGGCGGTATTTTTATTACCGTTTTACAGTTGAAGAGTGACTTGCCCAGGGTCACACAGCTAGTAAGTGTCTGAGGCTAAATTTGAACTCAGATCTTCCCAACTCCAGGTCTAGCTCTCTATCCACTGAGCCATCTAGCTGCCTCTGATACCTACTAGATGTTTAATAGATGCTTGTCGGTGAAATGAATCGAATCATAGGATCATAGATTCAGAGCTGGAATTGGACTTTGAGGTCTTTGAGTCCAACCTCCATCATTTCACAGAGGAGGAAACTGAGGCACAGACTATTTTAAGAGAATCAATCAGTTGCTCCTACAAAACTACCCATTGGGGGAATCCTGTGAGAGGCAGGATTCTGGACTGGATAGATGCTGGTTATGACTCCATGGCACATTTCTTCTTTTCCTACATGGTATTAAGGCGTGACAAGGTGGCATGGTAGCCAACTAGATAGTGTAGTGAATAGAGCTTGGTATCAGAAAGTTGCTGTTCATTTATTTCAGTCGTGTCTGACTCTCCAAGACCCCACTTGTAGTTTTCTCAGCAAAGATACTAGGGTGGTTTGCCTGTCCTTCTCTGGCTGATTTTACAGATGAGGAAACTGAGGCAGACAGGGTGAAGTGACTTGCCTAGGGTAACACAGCTAGTAAGTGTCTGAGGTCAAATTTGAACTTGGATCTTCCTAACTCTAGAACTGTTACTCTGTGTACTATGGCGCCACCTAGTGCTTGGTATCAGGAAGGCCTGAGTTCAATTCCTGTCTCAGATACTAGATGTATGACCCTGGGCAAGTCACTTCACCTCCAGGCCTCCATTTCTTCATTGTTAGAATGAGGAACTTGACTGGACAGTTTCTAAAATCTACAATCCTCAATCCATTCTAGATGTCTGTTAATTGGTACCTTCACAGGTATACGCTGTCTCTCCCTCATTGAATGTAAGCTACTTGAGAGTCAGGATGATTTGACTTTTTCTCTTTATGTTGCTGCCACCCAGCAGAGTACCGTAAACAGTACTAGGCACTTAATTAGTGTTTGTTGATTGACACATTGATTGGGTGAGGGGGCCAAGCCTGGGATCTGATCTGGAGAAGGCTCTTTGGATGGATTGGCCCAGGAGGCATCTGTGCTTAAAGGGGTGTGGGGATGGGAGGGGAGAGCCCTCTTGTAACCAGCCCAGTGGGTGATTTCTGCCCCATGTCTTGTCTGGCTTTGTGTCGTCAATAGTAGACAGTGGTGGGACGGTGGTGTTAGTGAGCCAGGATGGGATTCAGAGGCCTCCGTTCCGGTTTCCCAAGGGGGGTCATCTGCTACAGTTTCTCTCGTGCCTGGAGAATGGACTGCTACCCCATGGCCAGCTGGATCCACCGCTGTGGTCCCAGCGAGGAAAGGTAAGAAGCCCCTGGCCTCTGGGGAGGTGCTTTGGCCCCAGCCACAGGAGCAGGGGAGGGAGAGAGGAGGAGAGGAGATTGGGAGCCCAGGGTATTTGATGCTGTTCCCTCCTTCCCGGCCTGTGTTGGGGCCCTGGAGTGGTGTGGCTAAGGAGTAAGGAGTCAGGGGTTCAGTATATTGGGTTGGGAACCTCTTCTTTTAGGGCAAAGTGTTTCCGAAGCTCCGAAAGCGGAGCCCTCAAGGCTCCTCAGAATCTGCATCCGACAAGGAAGATGATGAAGCCACAGATTACGTCTTCAGAATCATCTACCCCGGCATGCAGTCAGAGTTTGGTAAGACCATTTGTGTCCCCCTGGGCTCCTGCTACTGACCGGATGGCGTCGGGGCACCCAGCCAGGGTGGTGGTTTGAAAGGCAGCCGGTGCTGTGGGGGAAGGAGAGCTGAGCTAGGTTCCCTGGCTTTGAGTCTGGGCTGAGCCACCAGCTCGGTGACCTTGGCAAATCAATGAACCTCTCTGGTCTTGGTCCCCCTTAAGATCACAGAATCAAAAAGTCACATGTGGAGCTGCAAAGTACCCTCAGGGCCATCTAGTCTAACCTCTTCATTTTACAGAGTGAGAAACTGAGTCCCAGAGAGCTTTACAGGGTTACATGGGTTGTTGAGATTCAAACCAAGGTCCCAGGATTCCAAGATAAATGTGACTTCTCATTATAAAATACAGCCATCATCCAAGTACATTGTAATATATCACTGAGATGAAAATTCACTGTCAGTGATGAATGTTATTTTTAAATATTTCATTGCTTTAGCCTTAGCCTGTTATAATAGCACAATTGGCTGTTCATGCTAATGGCTCAGATTTCTATGGCATTTTATTATTTCAAAAGCAGACGCTTAAGAAATCTCATGAGCTGAGGACATTTTTACGGTCTCTCAGTGGCATAGAAGCCTCTGAGTTGTATCTCCTGGAACTAAAGTTGCTTTCAGACGCCTCATTGTGGTGTGGCTGACCCAAGCACTGTTGCTCTCCAAGGGTACATGAGGGAAGTACAAATTCTTCTACATCCTGCGAAGCTCAGAGCTCAAGTCTTCTGGTCTGAGCCCAGTGGATGGACTGGTCCATGTGTCTAACATCTGGGAGGTCATTGCAGCCATAATCTCCTACTCCTTGGGCAGTGGTCATCTCCCCTGCTACTATTGAGTGGGGCGGGGGAGTGGGGGGTGGAGAGGGTCTAAAAGCATCAAGGAGATGAATGATCAGCTCAGTATTTCCCTATGTGTGAGGCTTTCTAGGGGCAGCTAGGTAGCACAGTGGATAGAACACTAGGCTTAGAATAAGGAAGGCTCATTTTCCTGAGTTCAAATCCGACCTCAGATGCTTACTACCTGTGTGACCCTGGGCAAGTCACTTCACCCTCTTTACCTCAATTTCCCCATCTGTAAAATGAGCCAGAGAAGGAAATGGCAAACCACTCTAGTATCTTTGCCAAGAAAACCCAAAATGGGGTCATGAAGAGTTGGACGTGGCTGAAACACCTGAACAGCAAGGCTGTTGAGAAAAAACAGTTTTACCTGCTTGCCTGAGGTCCCTACATTCAATAGAAGCTTTCTCTCTGTTCACTTAAATTCTATACGTACTCATCTTGAGTTTAGAAAACAGAATATCCTAAATAATAATTCTAGTTCTTTGTGGTAAATAGCTGGGACTAGGCTGGAATTGTGGGAGAGAGGAAATAATGCTGAATTTGGAAGGAGAAGACCTGGGTTCAGATCCTGGCTTGCCCATGGCCAAGTCACTTTATGAGCCTCAGTTTCCTGTCTGGTAAAATGAAGGGGTTGGACCAGATGACCTCTGAAGGTTCCTTCTGGCTCTAGACCTAGATTCCTATCATAATCCATTTAATTAAGTTACCATTGTAGAGGCCAGAGGGGATGGCATCACCCTGCCCAAGCCTGTCATGGTAATCTCTGCCCGGACTACCGCCAGGGCAGTGCCATGGAATGGTGTCAGACATATAATACTAGGTGAGTAATGTGGTATATAGTAGAAAAAGCTGTGGATTTAGATTTGGATGATCTGAGTTTGAATGTAAACTCTACCACCAGCGTGACTTTGGACAAGTCACTTCCTTCTCTGAGTCTCAGCTTCCTCATCTTCAAAATGAAGGAGTTGACCTAGATTACCTCTAAGGGATTAAATTTTGGATCTCATGAAACCATCGTCCACTATAAAATTATGCCCAGTTAGAAGGTCACTGATTTAGAGCCAGAAGGAAGGGGCTTCAGAGGCTGTCCCGTCTAGATTCCTCCAGCTGTTCAAGGCAGAGAAGAGTTACAATTTAGTAGAATCTAGACTTGGAGATGTCTTCTTGTCTTCCTTCCCCGGAGCCTTTACCTTACCCATTTGTCTCTTTTTCCCTTTAAAACTGTGACTCAAGTTCCCACAGAGTACTCCCATCCGCCTCCCCCTGCCTCTTCAAGATCAGCATGGATGGTGTTCCCGGCGGGCCGGACCATGGTTGAGATGGCTGTGGGGCAGTTGTCCACTCAAGCTGGAGGGGCTGCTGTTCCTACCGTGCCGGACGCAGACTCGTTCCCCCCCAGTAATGTTCTGGTTTCCCCTTCAGCTACCATCTTGGTGCTTATTAACCTCAGCCATGTTGTCATTTGAATTCCATTCCTGAGCAAGGTGGACTATGGGATGGAGTGATGTCATGTGGCCAGCTGGTCCCTTATCTGGGTCATAGGGTCATAGATTTGGAGTTGGAAGGGACCTTAGAAGCCATCTATTCCAAACACTGTTTTTTATAAGGAGGAAATCAAGGCATAGAAAGTCAACTGACTTACCCAAGGACACTTGCCTGGTAGAGTAGAGGATGCACCTAACCGTGAATCAGAAGCCCCAGGGTTCTAGTCCCTACTTTACCATTCACCACTGTGTGAGTTTAGTTGAGTCTCTTCCTCTCTCTGGGCCTCAGTTTCCTCATCTGTAAAACGAAAGCATTGAATGGGATGACCATTCATGGCCCTTCCAGCTCTAACATCATGTGGTCTCTGATTGTTTAGACTTTGTACAGTTCAGAGTAGCTTCCTATGATCTGAGGTTATCTGACCTCACAGACAGCAGGGTAGAATCCTCAGCAAGGATTGACTTTGCTTTTGGAAACTTTTGGTCAGGTATCCCTTTGTCCTTTTTATCTGGGACCCTACAGAAGACCTCCCCTCCACGATCAGAGATTGTGGTGTCCGTGCCAGGAGTATCCATTCAAATGAGATCATAGCATAGTGAGTGGTCGCAAAATGCTTGTTTCCCTTTCCCCCTTCCATGCCAATGGAACACCTTGGGGAGATGGAAAGACCATTTCCCCCCTTTCCCCACTACTCTCCTGCTCAAGTCTCTGAGGAACTCAGTGTCACATCGTCTCCGAGTTGGAAAGAGTTCATTGGCCTGAACAAAACAGGGACCTTAGAATCACCTCCGACATGCCCAAGGAGAGATCATCTAATCATTGCTTGATGACATTCAATGAGGAGGAACTCACTGCCTCTGGAGATGTACTGTTACATCTTGCCCACTCTAGTACTTAAGAAGTTTGTCAGCCAGTCAGTCAATAAACATTTGTTAAGCACCTAATACGTTCCAGGCAGTGTACCAAGTACTGGGAATACAGGGAAAGCTGAAAGGCGGTACCTATTCTGTAGGAGCTCAGTCTAATTGGGAAGAGAACATCCAAATGGCGATGTACAGACAAGCTATAGATAGGATAAATGAGAGGTAATCAGCAGAGGGAAGGCATTAGAGAAGAGCGGAACAGGCTTCTTGCTGAAGGTGGGACTTGAAGGAAGCCTGAAGGTGGAAATGAGAAGAGAGAACATTCCAGGCATGGGGGAAAGCCAGGGGAAATGCCTGGAGCCAGGACAGCTAGGTGGTGCAGTGGAGAGTGCAGTCAGGAGGACCTGAGTTCAAATGTGGCCTCAGATACTTACTACTTTTGTGACTCTGGGCAAGTCAGTGAATCTCAATTGCCAGAATGAAAGAAAGAAAGAAAGAAAGAAAGAAAGAAAGAAAGAAAGAAAGAAAGAAAGAAAGAAAGAAAAAGAAAGAAAGAAAGAAAGAAAGAAAGAAAGAAAGAAAGAAAGAAAGAAGGAAGGAAAGAAGGAAAGAAGGAAAGAAGGAAAGGAAGGAAAGAAGGAAAGGAAGGAAAGAAGGAAAGGAAGGAAGGAAGGAAGGAAGGAAGGAAGGAAGGAAGGGAAAGAAAGAAAGAGAAAGAAAAGAAAAGAAGAAAAGAAAAGAAAATGCCTGAAACTGAGAGCCACAGGCTCTTATTCAAGGAACAAAAGAGACCAATATCACTGGGCTGAAGAGTACAGCCCCATGGTGAGTGGTCTGAGGGAAAGGTAGGGAGGGGCCAGGGCTCTGAACACCAGAGTTTATATTTTGTCATGAAGGTGATAGGGAACCACTGGATTTTATCAAGCATTGAGGGGCATGGGGTGACATGGTCAGACCTTCGCTTTAGGAGAATCACTTTGGCAGCTGGCTACCACTGTAACCAATCAATCAGCAGGCATCTGTTAAGTGCCTACTGTGTGCCAGGTACTAAGGGTACAAGTCCAAAGAGTAAAACAATCCCTCCTCTCAGTGAGCTTACATTCTAATGGGGAAAATGATAAAGCTCCACCCCATGGGATGAAGCAGAATCAGTCCATGCCCTCTTCTAGAAGATGGCTCTTCACATACTTGCAGACCACCATCGTGTACCAGCCCATCCCCTCACACCCCCAACTCTCTTCTTATCTAGGCGAAGCAGCCGTAGTTCCATCTAACAATCCTCGTGACAAAGACTCCAGGCCCTTCTTTGCCTTCCATTTGCTTTCCTCTGGACACTCTAGGATTGTCCTTCTCAATGTCCTTCGTAGGCTGTGGCACCCAGAAGAGAACACAGCAGTCCCTTGAGTGGTCTCAGGGTTGGACCTTCCCTCCTTTCATAGGCAGCCTGGCCACGGGTTGGGGTAAATGACAACATGGCGCTCTTGCTTGAGGTTCTGTTCCTTGGCCTCTTGGTGGCTTACTCTTGGTTCCCTGGTTCTCTGGCTTCTGTCTCTCACCCTTTGCCCGACTTTCTCTGTGGTAGCCATCGGGGGCTTCACTTTCAGCTGGCCCGCCGGGAGTACTTCGTCTCCTCGGGATCTCTTGGGTATCTTTCATCAGATCATGCGCTAGCGCTCCAGGGTCCTGGGCTGAATCTCATTTATGGGCGCCCTGATGTTCCAACTCAAGATTCTGGTTCTTCCTTACCTCTGCTACTGGGGAGCTGCTTGCTTGGGATCAAGGGCTCTGGGCCTGCCTTAATGGGGGCTTCCCACCTCTCTTCCTTTCCTCAGTGCCTCCGGACTTGATTGATACCTCCGTGAGCAGCCTGCCTTCCATGTGGCAGCCCAGCCCTCGGAAGTCATCCTGTTCGTCCTGCTCCCAGAGAGGCTCCACAGAGAGCGGAGCATCCAGTGGATGTAATCACGAGAGGTACAGGATGTCCTAGGGAGGGGTGGGTGGAGGGTGGGCGCTGGGGGGTAAGGGAGATAGACTGCAGTGAGCCAAGACTGATTGGTGCCTTCTAAGTACCTCTAGCTGTTTCAGGCATAACGAATGATATAAGGCAAGCTCATACCTTACAACAACAAACAACAACAACAACAACAACAATAATAATAATAATAATGACAGCTAGCTTTAATATATATGTATGTACATATACACACACACACACACATATATATACTTAATATTTCATATAGTGATTTAGTATTTTCAAAGCATTTTATGTATCTGATCTCATTTGATGTTCACAACAACCCTAGAGGGTAGGTGATATTATTATCCCCATTTTACAGATGAGGAAACTGAGGCTGGGAGGTGAAGTGATTTGCCCAGGGTCATATAACTCAGAAAGGTCTGAGGCAAGATTTGAACTCAGGTCTTCCTGACTCCAAGTTCAGACCTCTCTCCCCTATATCTGCTTACACCCTTCTAAACCATAAGTTCCATGAGGGCAAGGAATATGCTTAGATACTTCCTAACAACATAACGCTGGATAAGTCACTTGATTTTTGTCCACCTAAATTCCCATACCTGTAAAATGGGGTTAATAATGTCACCTACCTCCCAGGCTGGTTGTGAGCATTGAATGAGATAATATTTGTAAAGTGCTTTCAAATCTTTTTTTTAAATTTTTTTTAATTTTTAGGCAATTGGGGTTAAGTGACTTGCCCAGGGTCACACAGCTAGAAAGTGTTAAGTGTTTGGTCTGAGGCTGGCTTTGAACTCAGGTCCTGACTTCAGGGCCAGTGCTCTATCCACTGTGCCACCTAGCTGCCCCTAAGTGCTTTCAAATCTTAAAGCACTAGATAATGCATTATTGTTACTATTGTCATTGCTGGTAATAAATTGTATACAGCCCCTGGTGAGGAGCACAGGTCTTCATACAACAGTAGGTGCTTAATAAATGTTGAATGCTATTGTTTAAATATCTGAGGACATAGCAGGGCTGGGAGATGTCATTTTTCCTTCCGAGCAGATGGGCTCTGTCATTGACTTTCTAGATGTTTCCAGAATGGTCCCTGTGTCCAGAATGGGACACTCTCCACCCAGAAGGTTAATTAAGTCCCAGTTTCTGGGAGGCTGTGCCTTACTCTCATCCCGTGGAAAATGCCAAGTTTACCTTTTATAGAGGAATTAGAAGGCAAAAATGCAAAGCCTTCCACCTGAGTTCAAGAAATGGACCTCACAGGTATAGGATAGAGGTGGTGTGGGTGGACAGGAGTTTGCCTGAAAGATCCCTGGTGGGTTTAGAGACTTCGTATTCAATATGACTCACTGGTATGATATCATTCAATCAGTAAATGTTTGTTAAGCACCTACTGTGTGCCAGGCACTATGCTAAGTGCTGGAGGTACAGAAAGAAGCAAAAGACAGTCCCTGCCCTCAAGGAGCTTACAGTCTAATGGGGAAGATAACATGCAAACAAATATATACAAAGCAAGCTATAGACAGGGTAAGTAGGAAATAATGAACAGAAGAAAGGCACTGGAATTAAGAGGGTGTGGGGAAGGCTTCCTGTAGGAGGTGGGATTTTAGTTGGGACCTAAAGGAAACCTGGGGAGTCAGGAGGTGGAACTGAGGGTGGAGAGTATTTCAGGCCTGGGGAGGACAGCCAGAGAGAATGCCCGTAGCGGAGCAGTGGAGAGATGGCCGCAAAGAAAACTACGCCAGTCTTGGGCTGCGCTGAGAGGCATATCTTCCTGGAATGGGGACATAATAGTCCTACTGTGCTCTGCCCTGGTCAGACCAAATGTGGAGTGTTTCATTCAGCTCTGGGCTCTTCAGGTTAGGAAGGACACTGAGAAGCTGAAAAGTATCCTGGGAGGGCAATCAGGATGGTGAAGGGCTTCAGTCCAGTCCATATAAAGATCAGCTGAAGGACTTGGGGTGATTAGCCGGGAGAAGACTAGGCTCAGGTCAGACATGATGGCTCTCTTTGAAGTGCTTGAAAGGCTGTGCTTTTGAAGAGCAAATAGATTTGTTCAGCCTGCTTTTTTCTTTCTTTCTTTCTGGGCACAGTGAGTGAAATGAAGGGAAAGAAGGAAGGAAGAGACAGAGAGAAAGGAGGAAGGAAAAGAGGAAGGAGGGCAGGGAAGGGAGGAAGTAAGAAGAAGGAAGGGAGGGAAGGAAGGAAGGGAGGGAGGGGAAGAAGAAAGGAAAAAGAGAAGGAGGGAAGGAAGAAAAGAAAGAAGGAATGGAGGGAAGGAATGAAGAAAAGGAAGAAAAGGAAAGACAAAAGGAAAGAAGGAAAAAGAAAAGGAAGGGAGCGAGGAAGGAAAGGAGGGAAGGAGGGAAGAAAAGAGAGAAGGAAGGAAAAGACAAGAATTTTTTAAGCATTTATTCCTTCTTAGAAGTATCCAAGAGGCAAATTTAAACTTGTATAAGGAAAAATTTCCTATAATTAAAGGTTCCCACTCCCTGGAGGTCTTTGAGCAGAGGCTAGATACTCACATGTTGGGGATGTATACAGGATATTTTTTGGATGTCTCTGAAGTGACCTCCAGCTCTGAGACCCTGTGATTCTGGGAGCCCAGCCTAGCCATCAGCTAATGCCATGTCCCAGTCTACCCTGATAGAGACACATGGGTAGAGTAGAAGAGCCCAGTGCCTTCTGTCTCTGATTTAATTGGGAGATAGAGATGAGTCTGAGAGCTCCAGATTGGCATTCTTGCCAGAAGGCTGCTGGAATGCTGGGGCACAAAGGCCTGTCTTGGAGAAGTCACCTGAGTAGCCAGGGAGGTCCACTAGAAGGTCAATCTAGTGGGCAGAACTGCAGAAGGTTGGGTACTACCTGGGGATTCCCTTGGTGACTAACCCAGTGCAAACCTCTAAAGCACAACATCCCAGACAAATCTGAAACAATTTTATAATTTCGTAACTATAGATTATATTGTACATTATAACATATTAGATACAAAACAGTTATATTACATATCTATGTATTGTGTTATATAATATGATATATTAATATATCGTTATACATCATATAATTTCATAATTTTAATGATGAATAGTGCTTAGGGGTCTTAGGATCATCGTCCATCCTGGAGCCAAGTGACAGTAGAGTGTTGAGGCCAGGGTGCCCGTCACATTCCTTCCCGAGCCACAAAAGTCCAGAAGCATTTGGTCCTTTTGGATATCCTGGCTTTTTCCCTGGCCTGGCCCCCATCTCCACGACTAGATCTGTTGCATTCTCCCTGGGTCTGCTGAGCCTTCAGCCTCTGGGAGGGCAGGGGAGGGGTGCTCTGCAGTCACACCCCAGATGACAGATCCTCTGGTCTATTGTGTCTGTTCTAATCTCAGCTCCTTTGTCTTCCTTCTCCTCCAGGGCTCCTCTGAAACTCCTCTGTGACAACATGAAGCATCAGATCCTCTCCAGAGCCTTCTATGGTTGTATGTAGCCGAGCTCCCCTTCTTGGACCCAATGCGGGGGGAGAGGGAGGTGGTCTTGGCAGATGGTCATTCGATGCCCACTGGGCACCAGCACCTGGTAATAGATGCTGTGGAATGTGCTATATGCAAGGCAACACAGTATAGTGGCTAGACTTCTGGGCCTGGAGTCAGGAAGAACTGGGTTCAAATCCTATGTCTCTCACACACACACACACACACACACACACACACACACACACAGAGCTATGTGACCCTAGATAAGTCACTTAACCTCTGTGGACCTTCGTATCCTCATCTGTAAAATGAGGGGATTGGACAAGATGGCCTGTGAGATCCTTTCCAGCTATAATAACAATAATAATAACAATAACATTTATGTAGCACTTTAAGGTTTGCAAAGCACTTTACGTATTATAACATTTGATCTATAAAGTGAGGGCTGTGGTCCTGTTGGCCTGTGAGGTCCCTTCTGACCCTAGAACTGTTATTCTATGAATCTCAGTTTTTTTTTCCCTCTTTGAGCCTCAGTTTCTTTTCTTTTTCTTTTTTTGGTGAGATAAACAGGGTTAAGTGACTTGCCCAGGGTCACACAGCTAGTGAGTGTTAGGTTTCTGAGGCCAGATTTGAACTCAGGTCCTCCTGACTGAAGGGCCAGTGTTCTATCCACTGTGCTACCTAGTTGCCCGAGCCTCAGTTTCTTTATCTGTAAAATGGAGTAGTTAGACCAGAGAGCCTGTGAGGTCCCTTCCAGGTCCTGATCTAAGATCCCAGGAGATGTAATCCTCCACCAGGAGGTGTTAGCAGCCTCAGTGTAGACTTGGGGACTTTAACCTTTGTGGCCCTCTAGTGATGATATTTCCATTGTTTGGAGATGACCCTGGGTTTTGAAGGCTGGGCCAGTGCAGCTTCTGATAGATCCTGCCAAGCTCAGAAGCTTTAGGAAAGGACTTTGCAATAAACTTGAATGTAATAATGTAAGAAATAACATTCGAAAACAGATTTCAGTAGATAAATGCTGACAGGAAGCAAAGAAAGCCATGGGCTGGCAGTCAGGAGGCCTGGCTTCCAATGAGAGTTCAGCCTTGATGACCTGTGTTCTGATGGACTGGTCCAATAGAACTGTCATCGCTATTATTTATCTTCACTATTTATCTGGAATTCTAATGACTTGGAAGTTGAAATAACCTAGTTTGGGGAGTTTGGGGTCTTTTTTTCCCACTGTGTTTTTATGAGAAACAAACGATGATGATAATAATAGCTAACATTTATATAGCACTGACCACGTATCAGGGACTGTGCTAAGTGCTTAAATAATAATAATAATTATTATTATTTGTTATTATCTTATTTGATTCTCACAACAACTCTGGGAGGTAGATGCTATTGTTATCCCCATTTTACAGTGAAGGAGACTGAGGCAAACAGGGTAAGTGACTTGCCCACATCGCATAGGTAGTGTCTGAAGCAGGATTTGAACTTAGGTCCTTCTGACTCTAAGTCCAGCGCACTCTATCTAGTTAAACCCTTTTCCCCATTTTTCAGAGTAAGAAACTGAGGCCCAGAGAGGTGAAGGATCACAAAATCCCAAAGGTTGAGAGCTGGGAATGGATCTAGTCCAGCCTCCCTACTTTAACATGAGGGAACTAAGGTCCGTAGAGGTCAAGGGTCTTGCTCAAAGTCACAAGGCTATTTTGTTCATATGAGAGCTAGAACACTCAGAAGTCTCTGTCCATGTCTGGAAGTGTGGAAATTCCAGTGAGGTGGCGATCTGGAGAAGGTGAGAAAGGAGCTGGGGACATGGTTCTTACCAAGCCACGGGATGATGCACTTGCTGGGGGTTGTTCTCACCTTCAGCTCCCAGGAGGGTTAGTTAAGACCCCTCCTTCCATCTGGCAGCCGGCCCGTGAGGCCTCCATGCATCAGCGATCTGGTGTGGTGTGTACGCACGCGCGGATACCCCCCTCCACACACACACACATACCTGGCTCATCCCAGAATGAGGAGGTATTTTTCACGAGTTGTGTTGGCCAAATAATTCATCGTCCTGGGATCAATATGATGAGGGGAAGATCCACTTTAGAACTTAGCTAGACAGGAGGAACATTCACTTTGTGGGGGGGACTGTAGCAATGGAAAGAGCCCTGCCTCTGAGGCTGGAGGACCTGGTTCAAATCTCCTCTCTGGGGCTTGTTCCCTGAATGACCTTGGACAAGTCTCATATACATACCCACCCACTTGACATACACAAATACACACACAGGGCTCAGCACCCAGTGGCCCCAAAGGCCACCACAGGTCCTTGAATGACAGGCAAGCCTTCTGTCACTGGGCCCTGACTCAGCTTGTGCTCTTGCTTCAACCCCTACACACACACACACACACACACACACACACACACACACACACACACACACACGCACGTGCACGCGTCTATCAGTGAGCTCGCTAGTAACATAGAGCCAGGCCTCTGCACTCAGGGTAAATGCCAGCCAAGTACATTTGCAAGCCTGAGATGGAGGCAGCCCTCATGGTGTCTCCAGGGTGCTGACCAGGTGACTGGTTTTTTAGCCTCTGCTCCATTCTCTACTCTCCCAGGGCTGGCCTATTGTAGACATTTGTCCACTGTGAGGACCCACCTATCAGCCTTGGTCAACCACCTGATCGTGTCCCCCGACCTGCCTTGCGATGCTGGCCACGGCCTGACCATGGGCATCTGGGAGCAGTACCTGAAGGACAGCACGGTATGGCTGGACACCTGTCCAGTTCTCCTGTTCTCTTTTTTCTGGCTTGGCTGCATCTCAGGCCAACTGCTAGACCCCAGGGCTATGACCTGGCCACACTGTAACCTAGAGCTGCAAAGGTTGCTGAGCCCAGGCTGAGGAAGACCTCAGAAAGGCAGTAAAAGGCCAGCGGCCCCAGGAGTGAGATCCTTTCTCCTGTGATTGGGCTCATCCAGAACAAGTTAGTGTTTAGAGACTTTGAGCCATAGAATCATGGAGTTAGAACTGGCAGGGACCTTAGAGGCCAGTGAGTACAAATTCTGCATTTTGCAGAGGAGGAAACTGAGGCACGGAGAGGATAAATGATTTGCCCAGGGTTATACTGCTAGTGACAGCTGATTTAAGATGGGAATCTATCTCTGCCCTCCTTTATCTGATTTACAGAGCTAGATTATAGACTTGGGGAAGGGGGTGGGAAGGGAACATTCCTCAGGGTAGGACCTTAGAGGGATGGTAAACAGATTGCGACTGAGAAAAATAAGCTTTGGGTTTAAATTTTTAATTTTTTAAAAAATTTCTTTTATTTTTCAATTAACAGACATTTATTTTTTTAATGTATGTAATGTTTAAAAAGTTCAATTTAGTTTCTGAGTAATTAATCATTTTATTAATAATGCTAGCATTTTATTAGTAAAGGGATCAGTGACATTCTCGAATGCCGGAGACTCCTCGTGGTGGTGGGCTTACAGTTTATATGCTCTTGGAAGTGTGGGTCTTCCTGAGGGTGACAATCAATTCTGATTACTTAACAATTAATGAGAAAATGAGTAATATAATGAGAAGTGGGCTTATTCCAATGAGGGTCTTGAGGTATGTGACTTGGACCACCCAAGTCTTGGTCAAAGAGACTTACCAATTTCCATATCACCTGTCTGACAAAAGGGAGAATCCACATTTTCCCAGTTTCTGAGTAAACACAATGAGCAGGAATCCATCCATTAGTCTAAACCTAGAATTTCTTTACTGTCTTTGATTAGATCTTAGCCATCCTGACTGGGTAAGTCTCGGCTCAAGATTTCCCACACTGGTTGATTTCTGGATGAGGAAGTAGAAAAGGGGAAAAACCTTGGTCCCAATTCAATAACTAGTAATTAATATATGAAAGAAATAATCATTTCTCTCATTTATTTTTTATTTCTTCTACCTCAACTCTAGTTCAAAAAGGGAAAAACAAAACCCTTGTAACAAATATGTGTAATCAAGCAAATATTCCCACGTTGGCCATATCTAAAAAATGCGTGTCTCATTCTGCAGCCTGAGTCCATCAACTGTCTGTCAGGAGGAAGGTGGCATGCTTCTGATAGGGCCTCTAAAATCATGGTTGGTCATTGTATTGATCCAAGCTCTTAAGTCTTTCAGTCTGTCTTTACGATGTTGTTGTTGCTACAGAAATTGTTCTCCTGGTTCTGCTCACTTCACTCTGCATCAGTTCATAAAAGTCTTCTCAAGTTCCTCTGAACTGCCCATTTCATTAATTCTGATAGCACAGTAATATTCCATTACATCCATATCCCATCCAGTAGTCATGTGGATTATTTGTACCTAACCTGTGGTAGAGCCTTCCAAGCTCGTATTGGTCTGATTAGCCACAGTCAGGCACACTGTACCTTGACTCCTTTTCTAGAATAAAGGGCAAGAATCATCCCAGAACTTGTTCAGGCATTCCCCAGTGGAGGGCACCCCCTTATGTTCCAGTTCTTGCCACCACATGGAAAGCTGCTATAAATATTCTCCTCCATATAAATCCTGTTCTTCATTTTTTGATCTCTTGGTGATGTTGAAGTAGTATCAATGGGTCAGTGGGCTTACATACACAGTTAGTGACTTTTTGGTCACAATTGAAAGAGTATTCTTTGAAGTAAAAACTCTGATCATCAGAATGATCAACCATGACTTCTAAGGACTAATGCTGAAGCTTGCTGTCTATTTCCTAACAGAGAGGTGATGAGCCCAGGGTGCTGACTGAGGCTAAAGTTTTTCACTAAATCAAATGTGTGGATTAATTTTACTCGGATATACTTATTCATTACAAGGATTGTATTTTTACATTTTTATTTCAGGGGATGGGATTTAGAGAGAACAAAGAAGATAATTTTTTTTTAAAAAGCTCCTTGAAGCATCTATGTAACTGCAATGCTTTTAGTCCTGGGCTGGCAGCTGGGCCACCCTTGGGTTACCTGGCATTGATGTGAAAAGTCAACGATGCTCCTAGCTGATTGGTATTCTTCAGCGGTGTGCCCCAGTGGCTGAGCCTTCTTCCTTAGGCTTGGGACTATGCTGTTAGTGGCTCCCAGTGACTCCCTCTCTTCCTACAGAGTTACGAAGAACAGGAGCTGCTGCGTCTGATCTACTTTGGGGGGATTCAGCATGAGATTCGCAAGGACGTGTGGCCCTTCCTGCTGGGCCATTACCAGTTCGGGATGACAGAAGCTGAGAGGAAGGAGGTGGGTCTGGCTTGGTCTAAGGAGCTGGTGTGGGATTTCCCTTTTGCACATTAGTAGGATCTAATTGGCCCTCTGTGCCCCATCTGAGGCAGAGAAAGCCACCTCTACTTGAAGAGAGTAGAAGAGAGAGTTTGTCACTGCAGCGTGTATGAAAGAAGAGGCACAGAGTCCGGGTCTAAACAGTAATAGCAACAACTCCCCATTTCTTTTCTTTTTCTTTTTTTTGGGGGGCAATTGGGGTTAAGTGACTTGCCCAGGGTCACACAGCTAGTAAGTGTCAAGTGTTTGGTCTGAGGCCAGATTTGAACTCAGGTCCTCCTTCCTGACTGCAGGGCTGATATTCTATCCACTGCACCACCTAGCTGCCCCTAACAACTCCCGTTTCTGTAACAGTTTGAGGTTTGCAAACTGCTTTCCTCCCAATAACCCTCTCAGGTAGGCAGTACAAATGTTACTGCATTTTTACTGCTGGGTAGACTGAAGCTTTAAGAAATGAAGCGATTTTTCTGTGATTGGTCATAGGATCATGGATTTAAGAGACCTTAGAGGCCATCAGATCTAATCCCCTTATTTTACAGATAAGGAAATTGAGGCACAGAAAAGTTAAGGGACTTGCCCAAGGTCACACAGCTAGTAGGTGTCTGAGATGGGGATTTGAATCTAGGACTTCCTGACCCCAAATTTAGTACTCGCTCCATTGCATCATCTAGCTGCCTCCTCCAGGTTTCCTGACTCCAGTCCTCTATCTACTGTAACAACATACGTTTCTGTACGTTCATCAGTTCCCTAGGTTTAAGATGAGCTAGCACCCCAAAGTAAGTCCTTGAAATGGAGAAACCAAAGTGATAGGATTTGATGATTGATAGATTAATAGGGGATTTGAGCCAAGTCTAAAGGAAGCCAGAGAAGCTAGGAATCAGGAGGAGAGTGCTCCTGGCATGGGGTACAGTCAGTGCAAAGACATGGCAGTGGGAGATAAGCATATAGCACTTTAGCTTGATTATGGAGCAGGAGAGCTGAGAGTCAAACCCAGGTCCTCCAGTCTTCATTTCTCCAATGCATCTCATCTCAAAGTCCTCACGGGAAGAAGTGAGATTGGAACCAGCAGGGTGCTCTGGGGGAAAGAAACTGGATTTGGAGTTGGAGGCCCTAGGTTTGAATCCTGGCTCTGTGTATGTGACCTTAGGCAAGTCACTTAACTTTTTTGGGCCTCCATTTCTTCCTCTATGAAATGAGGGGTTTGGACTAGTTCATCTCTGACATCTTTTCCAGTCCTGAAGCTATGGTCCTATGACTTGCTGACAATTTAAAAACAAAATAGCTAAAGATTGTACCCTTACCTCCCCCCCCCCCCGAAGGCTGAAAAGAATTTGGGAAAAAATTGGTGTGAAATTATTAGATGTTTTCAAAAGCAACCATTGTACCAGCTTGGACCTGGGGAGGAAGAGGAAGGGAACTGGTATTACCCAGAGCCAAGCTGCAAGCTGGGAATGGTCGGGAGATTCCCCATTCAGTATGAGGCTGTCTGCTCATGGGAAGGGGCCACGTAGACTCAGGCTTCCTGGGCCTGGCTGTGTCTGTCTTGGTGACAGGTGGACGATCAGGTTCACGCCTGCTATGAGCAGACCATGGCAGAGTGGTTGGGCTGTGAGGCCATCGTCCGGCAGAGGGAGAAAGAGTCACACGCGGCAGCCCTCGCCAAGTGTTCCTCAGGCGCGAGCCTGGACAGCCACCTGCAGAGGATGATGCATAGGGATTCCACCATCAGCAATGAGGTGACTGCTTTGGGGATGAGAGCCCTGCCCTCCACGCTGGGAAAGGGAACCAGGCTGAGATAGATCAGGTGTAAGTGGAGGGGCAGATGCCAGCTGATCACAGACTCTCATTGTCTCATGGGACCTCAGACCATCTGGTCTAACCCACACCTGAGTAAGACTTGCCCAGAGAGCACCCCCAGGGGGTGGTCATTCCGCCATTACTTAAAGACCTTTGACACAGTCCATTCTACTTTGAGCCAGCTCTTGTGGTCAGGAATTTCTTTACATTGAGCCAATATTTGCCTGTTTGCATCTTCCCTCCCATTGTTCCTAGGACAATGGGACAGCCCTGCACATGCTGGGAGTCAGCTCTCATGTGCCCCTTAGGTCTTCTCTGGACTAAATGCCCCCAGTTCCTTCATTGTTTTCCATTCCCATCACCATCCCAGGCACCCACCTTTGAATGCTCTCAGCTTAGCCATGGCCTTCCTACACTGTGATAGCCAGAACTGAACATAGCCCTCCAGATGTGGTCTGACCAGGACAACAGGACTATCCATTCCCATGCTCCACTCGCCACTGGGGGAGGTGGAGCAGGGTTGAGCTGAGATTAATGTAATCTTAAGTCTTTCTTCATATTGAGATTGAAATACTCTAAAACCTCTGGCTTTCTTTCATACAAACTGTTGTAGAAATTAATTTTGTGGACCCATGCGGAGGACTTTACATTGATCTCTGGGTTGAGGTACCTCTGGCCTTAGTCTTGCCCTCTAATGACATCATACCAACACCACCAATCCCTTGAAACCCCAGCCCTTCAGACTGGAGTTCTTTCTACCCAATGGCCCTGTCAGTACCTTGGGAATTTGCCCAATCTTCTGGAGAGAGGGTGTCCAACCCAGATGAAAGGTACGGGGCTATGGAAGATAATGAAACTCCTGTTTGACTCCCTCTTCCCCCATTTCCCCCCTTCCTTTTAGTCTTCTCAGAGCTGCAGTTCAGGAAGACAAAATCACATCCGTCTGCCAAGCGACTCCAGTAACAGCACCCAGGTAGGCAATGATCACAGGATGGGAGGGGCTCAGAGGGACCTTGCAGATTACGTTATTCTGCCCCACTGGTCATTAGAGAGGAAGGAAATGAGACCCAGAGAAGGGAGTCCCTAGTTCAGAGTCTCCCAGGTAGCAATCCATCAACCAATAAGTATTTATCTATTAATTAATGGACTAAAACAAGCATTTTCAGAACAGTATAATAAAAAAGATGACTGCACACGAAACTGCAAATCTGTTGTGTACAACTTGCTATCCCTCTTAAATATGCAATAAAGTTATCATGTAAATTTCCCCCTCCTTGTTTTTTCTTCCTTCTCTCCAATAAGCATTTATTTAATTAAGTGCTTGAGAATCAAGATTTGAACTCACATCCAGCATATAGAATTTTGGGATTATAGATCTAGATCAGAACATCATGACTCAGAGGTATAACTTGTCAAAGGTCACAGAGTGAGACCCAGGTCTTCTGACTCAGATTTTCCACTGGGCCACACTTAGTGGCCGACCCGCCATCTTTGTCTGTCCTGGACCTGAACAATATATCCATTTCTTTTTCCTCAGGTGTTTGAGTCTGTGGATGAAACAGAGCAGGTGGAGGTAGACAGCAGGCAGGATGACATGAAGCAGGTCAAGGTCCCCAATGGGACGGTGGTTAATGGCACCTGCTCCCCCGACTCCGGCCATCCCTCCTCCCACAACTTCTCCTCAGGCCAGTCGGAGCACAGTCTCAGCACAGAAGACAGTGTCATGGAACCACTGAAAAACACCCCGCCAGTGGCAAGGCCTGACGGACCCAGTGCCCAGGATGGCCATGAGCCGGACACTGCCCAGCCTGGGGACAAAGCCCCAGCAGAGGAGCTGGCCATCCAGGACAGCCTGGAAGGGGACTTTCTCGCCAACGACAGCCTGGAAGAGTTCATGTCTGTGCCTGGGAGCCTGGACGTGGCCCTCCCAGAGAAGGACTCTTCGGTGGTGGAAAGCTGGGTGGGCAGTGAGGCAGAGAAGCAGAGCCTGCTGGAGAGTGAGGACACCCTGTCTGAGGAGCCCGAAATGGAAAGTCTCTACCCTCAGCTGGAATCACTGACCGTAGTGGACTCTACAGTCACCGAGGCCTCCCCAGTGTCTTCCAGCGGAGTGACGTACTCTGTAAGTATACAACTGGGGGTGTGGTTATTCCTCTGATAGCCAGTGGGGGGTCATCTTCAGAGGCTGTCTGGCCCAAAACCTTCCTTTGTTTTTTTTTTTATTTTAAACTTAATTACAAAAACTTAAATACAAAATAAGAAAAAAAAAGCATTGCCATGTGCACAGCAGAAAATAGGAAACGATTCAAAATACACAGCAATAAATTTCCATTTCAAGAAAGCCGATATAATAAATACTGCGTGTTGTGTTCTGAGCTGTCCATCTTTTCTTTGCTTTCTTGTAAGTTTTCTTTTGTTCTCTGCTGTGCACTTTTTACTTCGTTCTTTTTTCCCCCTCAGCCCCCTGAAGGCCCTAGTTAATTACATATACTTATGTATGTATATGTGTGTGTGTGTGTGTGTGTGTGTGTGTGTATATATATATATATACACACACACATACACATATATACATATATATATACACACACACACATATATACACACACATATACATATATATACCTATACATACACACATGCATATATACACATACACATATATACACTTGTACACACAAAGATATACATATATACATACACACATATACACATGCATTCTCTTATATAGCACAGAGATATACTTAGATATCTATACTCATCCTCATACATAGACACATAAATTCACATGCATCTATGTAAGACTGTGCTATACTTGTTTGCCCTGTGTTTCTCTGAGGGTGAATAACCTCTTCTTTCATAAAGCCTAAATCTTTCCATATTTTTCCAAGTCCACCAACTCGTTATTTCCTACACCACAACAATATTCCCACCTTATATTGTCTAGTTATTTTAAGTAGTCCAAAACAACATTGATGAATATGGCTGACTTGTAGTTTCCCTATTTTTCTCTTTTGATTAAATCTATTTTAGCCTTAACTTTGTTCAAGATCATGATTACTGCACCTGCTCCTTTTTCCCTAACAAATTCTACTCCTGCTCTTTATTTTATGTTTGTGTGTAGCTCCTATTTCCTATCCCTCCTGACTTCTCTACTTTACTTCTACCCACTGCCTTGCCCTCCTATTACTTAACCTACCCCCCCCAGGATCCCTCCCTTGTCCTCCCCTTCCATTTAATTAAACACCTTTCTATATCATCCATTATCCTAATCCCTCATCCTCTTGTCTAAAAGTCCCTCCCTTGTCCTCTCCTTCCTCCCTATCCCCTTGGCCCTTTTTCTGAAATTAGAAGACTTTTGTGCCCTTCTAGATACACACATACACACACACACACACACACACACACACACACACACACACACTTGCCTCTTAAGTCCATTCCCGATGAAACTAGGTTTCCATAACTACTAGCCATTCTCCCCCATCTAATTCCTTTATGTCAGTTATTCTTCTCACACCCCATTTGTATAAAATAATTTCTTTTTACCCTAAATGGTTTTACTTTTTAAAATCATGTCATACTCAGGTCTACCCTAGTCTTTCTTATGAACTACCCAACTACTAATAACAATCTTAGGCATACATTTTAGATTTCCTCATATTAAAGATAAGCAGTCTCTCCTTATTGAGTCCTTTGTAATTAGTCTTTGGTATGTACCTTATATTTCTCTTGGCTTCTGTATCTCAAATCTTCTATTAAGTTCAGATTTTTTTTTATAACAAAATCCTGAAAGTCTGACAATTCACCAAATATCCTTTTTTTTCCATTCAGGATTATCCTTAACTTTGCTGGATATGATATTTTCGGCCACAACCCCAGTTCTTTTGCTCTTCAATATGTAGTATTCCAAGACTTGTGGTCTTTTAGGGTCACCACTGCTAGGTCCTGTGTGATGGTAATTGTGGCACCTCCATATTTAAATTGTTTTTTTCTTGTTGCTTGTAATATTTCATCTGTAAGCTGGTAGTTTCAAAATTTGGCCATGATATTCCTGTACGTTTTCCTTTTAGGATCTTTTCCAGGTGGTATTCAGTATATTTTTTCTATTTCTGCTTTCCCCTCTTGTTCTAATGCTTTAGGACAATTTTTTAAAATTATTTCTTGTGTTATTGTATCAAGATTCTTTTTTTTATTATAGTTTTCAGGTAGTCCAATTGTTCTTATCTTTTCTCTTCTTGATCTGTTCTCCAGATCAGTTGTTTTTCTTATGAGATGTTTCACATTCTCTTCTATTTGCTCATTCTTTATATTTTTTATTATTATTATTTCTTAGTTTCTCATAACTTTGCTGGCTTCTCCTTGCCCAGTTCTAGTTTTCAAGGAGTCATTTTCTTCCTTGAGATTCTGGATCTGCTTTTCTAATTGGTTGACTTTCATAATCTTGTTTTTCTTGGATTGTTCTTATTTTTAAAAAAATTTCCCTCAATCTCTCTCATTTGATTTTTAAAGTCTTTTTAAAGTTCTTCTGTGAATTTTTTGGGAAGGTGACCATTTGACATTACTCTTCAGAGTAGGAGAGGCTTTCTTCAGTATCCTCCTCTGAAGACGAAACCCAGTCTTCTCTGTTCCCATAGTAACTTTCTATGGTTGGATTCTTTCTCCTTTGTTTCATCATTTTTTTTTTAAATTTGTGGAGGCTTAGTTTTTGTAATCACCTCTAGTCCTGGGGTGTGGGGGATGGTGCCTCTGGCCTCAGATCCTCCCCTCTGGCCTGGAACCAAAAACAAAACCTTCAGCCCCCCATAAGCACCCACAGCCAGCGGCATCCCCGCCCCTCTGCTTCTGCATTCATTGGGTGTGTGCTTTTTCCTTCTCACCCAGGGCCACATCTCTCCAGTACAGCTGGGTCTTCAAGCCAAACTCAATCTTCCCTGGCTCAGATACCCAACTCCCCTCCCTATACCGGAGGTGAAAGTTCCTGTGATTGGGGTAGAGGCTACCTCCCAATCTAGCTAGCCCCAGGGCTTGTGGCTTTTGGGTTCAGAGAAATTAGTCTGGAGGTGTTTACCCTTCACAGGGACCAAAATTCATCCTGGGACTTTTCTTCTGCCGTTGTGCCAGGAAAGTTCTGTCCCAAATCTTGTTTATTTTTTAACAGCTCTTTATTCACCCTGAGGTACTATTTTGTCTTGTTTGTGGGGGAAATCTGGAGAGCTTGGAATTTTCTGACCTACTCTGCCATCTTCGTAGAATTCTCTCCTTTCCCACCCTCATTTATACAAAGGAGGAAACTGAGGCCAGAGGGGTTAAGGGACTTTATTGGATCATATATTTAGAGTCCTAAAAGACCTCAGAGGCCATCTGTCCCAACACCCTCAGTTTTACAGATGAGGAAAGTGAGGCCCAGGAAGGTAAAGGCACTTGCCCAAGGTCATACTGGCAGAAAATGGATTTGAACCCAGGTCCTCTGACTCCAAGGTGCCCTTTCCAGGTACTGTACCATGGTGCCTCTAGAGCAGGGGTTCTTAACCTGGGGTCTGTGAACTTGGCTTTTAAGAAAATTTCAATAACTGTATTTCAATACAATTAGTTTCTTTTATAATCCTATGTATTTTATTTTAAACATCTAAAAACATGATTCTGAGAAGGGGTACCAGTATACCAAAGGGCTCCATGATACCCCTGCTGAAGAGCTGGAAGGGGCCTTCCAGGGCCTCTCTTCTAACTCCCTCATTTTATAGGTAGGGAAACTGAGGCCCAGATGAGTTAAGTGACATATCCAGAGTCACAATGATAATATCTAAGGTGAGATTTGAACCCAGGCCTTACTGATTCAAGCCTAGTTTCCTATCTACTATACCAAGGTTTCTTAAACTTTTTCTGCTCCAGACCCCTCTTCTGTTTGGGCAGCTTTCATTGGTGGCCTGTGGCCTGAGGGCATGCACAGTGCAAAGTGGGCATGCTTTGTGTTTAGAGCCAAGGCTGCAGTGAAGTTGCTGGTACACCATGGGCAGCACTGCCAGAAACACCGGGCATTCATTACACATTTGATTTTTAATTAATTTTTAGTCATTGCATTTTCAGAAACCTGGATTGCAACCCACAGTTTAAGAAGCTCTGCACTATACCACATTTCCTTGGTGTTCCTTCATGGCTTTGATGTTTCCACAGTCATGTCAATACGGGCCCTCTCTCCACCAGTGTAGATTGAAAGCCATCCACCCATTTTCATGCAGCATAATTCTGGTCCATGTCCTAGGATATAAGACCTCTAGAACTAGGATCCTACGTGGGTTCATGAGATCTAAGTTCTGGAGCTGTCTAGTTCACCCCTCCCCCTCATCTTACATATGGGGAAACCGAGGCCCTGGGAGGTGAGGCCCAGATCACCCAGATAATACATGGCAGAGTGGGGGATCTAAACTCAGGTCCTCCAAGTTAGTGTTGTTTCCAGGCCTCCAGAGGGCATCCACCCAGCACCCTGGAGGCCTCTCTTCAGGCGCTCTAGCCCTTGGATGGCACCAGAGCAGCGCTCAAGCTGTCCTAGACTCTCCGAACAAGGCCAGCCTGTTTTCTTTTTCTTGCACACACTGTCTTTGAAGCTGTTTTTGTTTGTTTGTTTGAATAAATTAGTTTTGGTAATATGCCAGTCTGCTTCCCTTCACTGCGTGTCTTCCCTGCGTCATCTGCATTTGTGTTTCTGAGGGTGGATGGAAGACATAAAGAAAGAAATTGAGGCTGATTATAAAGAAAAACTTTCTAACAAGTGGAGCTATCACAGAAAGGTAAAGAAAAAAGCTGCCACAGGCCCTATGAATTATCACTTTTCTCCCTCAGTAAACTTCAGTGGCTCTCTGTTACTGCTAGGGTCAAATCTGATCTCCCCTGTTTTCCACATGAAGCCCTTCCCATCTTTCCTGTCTTCTAACACATTCATCCCCTTTAAACTCTGCCATCCAGACATCCTCGTCTATTTCCTGCTCATGTCTGACCCCTGGGTTTTGCACTAGCTGGTTCCCATACCTGGAAGGCTCTTTTCCTCACCTTTGTCTCTTAGATGCCTGTCTTCCTTCAAGACTCAGCCTAATCACTACCTTATGTAGGAGGCTTCCAGTCCCCCAAAAGGCTTGTGGGTCTCGGGTCTCCTTAAGGTTACTTTGTATCTACTCTGTATGTGCAATCAAAAGTAAAAGTCACTGCCTTGAAGGAGCTTACATTCAAATGAGTAATTACAACATGTATAAGGATAACTGAATACAAAATATATACTAAGTATATATGTATATATATATATATATATATATATGTATATATATATATATATATATATATATATATATATATATATATATATATATATATATATATATGTATGTATATATACTAAGTATATAGTAACTATAGGATGTTAGCTAGCTCACTGGAAAGAGAACTGATTCGGGAGTTCAAGTCCAGCCTCAGACATTTACTAGCAGTATGACCCTGGGCAAGTCACTTCATTTCTATGTGCCTCAGTTTTCTCATCTATAAAACGAGAATAATAATAGTATCTCTCTCCCAGAATTGATGGAATGAGATGATCTTTGTAAAGGGTTTTGCAAACATTGAAATGATGATGATAGTGGTGTCAGAAGTAATGTTTCAGGGAACAGAAAGCTAATCACTGGGGGACTTCCTGTAGGAGGTGGAACATGAATCACTGTAAGGACATCTAATAAGGCCCATCCCTCACATCAACAGAGATCTGGAAAGAAAATTGGGTCAAAGAGTCACGGCGGTTGCTGACATCTAGAAGACAGCGCTTGAGAGCAAAATGCTTGGCTTGGTGGAATGATATCCATTCATGCAATCCAAGAATTTCAGACGTGGGACGGAATTGAGAGACATTCTAGTCCAGCCCATACTTGAACCAGAATCCCCCGTAGTCTGTGTCCCTCAGTGGTCCTCCAGCCTCTGCTTAAAAACCTCTGGCCATGGAGGTGACCTCTCAAGAATCCCTGCCCATGTTTGCACCTCTCTAATTGTTAGGGAGCTTTTTCTGATCTCCAGACTAAATTTTAGCTTTGGCAGCATTCACCCATTGCCCTGTGTCTGCCCTATGGGACCAAAGCAATCAGTCAGTCAGTAAACATTTATTAAGTACCTACTGTATTCTTATAAATTTGACTTAATTCTCTATACATTTTAGAAATGAGGCCTTTATCAAAGACACTGGTTGTAAAAATTCTTTCCCAGTTTTTTACTTTCCTTCTAATCTTGGTTGCATTGGCTTTGTTTGTGCAAAAACTTTTCAATTTAATGTAATCAAAATTATCCATTTTGCATTTCATAATGTTCTCTATCTCCTGTTTAGTCATAAATTATTTTTTTTTCTTCTGTTTTGTTTTGTTTCCTCTTTCTGGTGGTTCCTCCTATTGGTTCTAATTCTTCCTTACAACATGACTAATGTGAAAATATGTTTAATAGGAATGTATATGTATAGCCTATATCAGATTGCATGCTGTCTTGGAAAGGGATGAGAGGAGGGAAGGGGAGAAAAATTTAAAACTCAAAAGCTTATGGGGGGCGGCTAGGTGGCGCAGTGGATAGAGCACCGGCCCTGAAGTCAGGAGGACCTGAGTTCATATCTGGCCTCAGACCAAACTCTTATCACTTACTAGCTGTGTGACTCTGGGGCAAGTCACCTAACCTCGATTGCCAAGGAAGAAAGAAAGAAAGAAAGAAAGAAAGAAAGAAAGAAAGAAAGAAAGAAAGAAAGAAAGAAAGAAAGAAAGAAAGAAAGAAAGAAAGAAAGAAAGAAAGAAAGAAAGAAAGAAAGAGTAAAAAAAGCTTATGGAAGTGATTGTTAATAAAGCAAAATAAATTAATAAAAAAATTTTTTTGAAGCACCTACTGTGTGCCAGGCACTGTGCTAAGCACTGGGGATGCAAAGAAAGGCAAAAGGCAGTCCTTGCCTTCAAGGAGCTTACATTCCAATCTGCAGAACAAGTTTCATCCCTTCATCACAGCAATTCAAGTATTTGATGACCACTGTCACATCCATTAGATTGTAAACTCCTTGAGGGCAAGAATTGTCTTTTGCCCCTTTTTGTATCCCTAGCACTTAGCACCGTGCCTGGCACATAGTAGGTGCTTAATAAATGTTGACTGATGGAAGTCCCTCCTTAATCTCTCTTCTCTGTGCTAACCACACCCAATTTCTTCAATCAGTCCTTATGTGGCATGGACTCAAGACCCTTCCTCATCCCACTTGCCCTCCTCTGAACACTATCCAGCTTATCAATGTCCTTCCTAAACTGTGTTACTTAGAAATGAACTCAGTGCTCCAAACGTGGAGTCAGGACGGCATGAATTCAAATCTTTCCTCAGATGCTTACGAGTTGTGTGACTCTGAGCAACTTAATTAACTTCTCGTTTCCTCATCTGTATCAACCAACAAATATCATTTATTTATTTATGTATTTTTAGGCGAGTGACTTGCCCAGGGTTTGGTCTGAGGCCGGATTTGAACTCAGGTCCTCCTGACTTCAGGGCTGGTGCTCTATCCACTTAATTACTTATTTATTATGTTATGTGCCAGGCACTGTGCTAGGTGCTAACAGAATACAAAGGACAAAGAATGAAACCATTCCTAATTGCAGTGAGCTCGCATTCTAATTAATGGGGGAGGTTCTATATAGGACATCGATAAGTATAGACTGTTAAAAAATACAAATATATTTTTAAATGGCTAAATAGAAGAGTTTGGGAGGGAGGGCACTGGTACTTGGGAGCATCAGGAAAGGGTTCATGCAGAAGATGGGCTGGATGGCTACCACAGTTCCTTCTAGTTGTAGAGCTATGATCTTTGTGTGCTGACTGGGACAGAGAATGTTAGGACTGTTGCTTCCCTATTCCTGGAAACTGTACCCTTTCTCATGCTACCTAAGATCACATTTGCCTTTTTGGCACACTATTGACTCATATTAACTTTGACATCTACTGAAACCTCCAAAGCTTCTTCAGACAGATTTGTCTAACCCGGCTTCCTCTCTTGTACATGGGAAATTGATTGTTTGAGCACAAGTGTGTAAGATTGTCCATTGATCCTCTATTGAATTTCATTTTATTCAATTAATCAGTAAACATTCATTAAACACCTAGGTGCTGAGCACTGGGGATACAAAAAGAGGCAAAAGATAGTCCCAGCCCTCAAGGAGCTTACAGTCTAATGGAGGAGACAACATGCAAACAAATATGTAAAAAGCGAGCTTTATACAGGGTAAATAGGGAATAGTTAACAAAGTGAAGGCGCTGGAATTAAGAGAGGTTGAGGAAGGCTTCTTGTAGAAGGTGGAATTTTAATTGGGCTTAAAGGAAGCCAAGGAGGGCAGCAGTCAGAATTGAGGAGGGAGAATGTTCCAGGAATGAAAATGCCCACAGCTGGAGAGATCTTTTTGGAGCCCAACTTGGTGTTCCAGGGTATGAAGTAAGCCTCAAAGCTAGAGATACTAAAAAGGGAGTGTGTGGAGCAGGGCCTCCTAGGCCTGGGGGACAAACCTATGCAAAGGTTGGGAGATGGGAGATGGAATGCCAAGGTGGGGGGACAGCCCTTGGAGTAGGTATTGTAATACCCCTGGGAAGCAACTTCTGCTAGTTTGGAGGCAGAGGCCCTGGGTGCATTTTCCAGCTCATCCACTTGGCCCCTTGTGCCCAGGCTGTACTCTGTGTCTCCCTGCAAAATGATGAGGTTAAGAATGGGCAGAGACTCCTTTGTTCTTGATTTTCCAGCTCTAGTGCCCAGCACAGTGACTAGCAGGCGGTCAAGGAGAAGTTATTACTAATAGCTAGCATTTATATAAAGCTTTCGGGTTTGCAAAGCACTTTCCATACCTTAACTTATTTAATCCTCACATCAGCCCTGGGAGGTAGGCACTACTATTATCCCCATTGTACGCATGAGGAAATGGGGACACCAAAAAGTCCAGTGGCTTGCCCTGGGTCACACAGCCAGTAAAGGTTTAAGGCAGGCTTTGAACCCAGGTCACCATTTTACAGATGAGGGAACTGAGGTTCTGAGATGACCATGTACAGGTAGTCAGCGTCAGAGTCAGAATTCAAACCCAGGTCCTCATATTCCAAAGCCAGTGCTTTTTTCCTGAGGCCACGATGAGAGGCTGCTGCTGATCTAGTATTGACCCTCCCCTTTCTTCCCTCCTGCCACTTTTGTTTCCTTTAGCCAGAGCTACTGGACATGTACACAGTGAACCTACATCGAATCGAGAAGGATGTCCAGAGGTGTGACCGAAATTACTGGTACTTCACCCCTGCCAACCTGGAGAAACTTCGCAACATCATGTGCAGGTAAGCCTTCTGCCAGGGAGGCGCGGGTGAGAAATGCCAGCTCGCGGGGAGCTGTCCGATTTCAGGGGTAGCTCCGGGGCTAGCGAGGAGGCGGGGATCTCTTTTTTTTCCAATTCATTTCAATAAACATTGATTAAGTGTCTACGTGGGTCAGGCACTGTGCTAAACCCTGGGGATACAAAAAGGGACAAAAGACAGTCCCTGCTCTCAGGGGGCTTACAATCCAAAGGAGAAGCCAACATGCAAACAAACATATCCCAAGCAAGCCACATATAGGAGAACTAGGAAATCGCTGCTGCTATCGTTTGCCCTTTGTTCTCATTCTCAAAGAGGACAGTGACGTCAGGAAGGTGCTGCCATGACCTGCAAGTGAATGGATTGAAGTGAGGCAGGGCTGTGCAAGGTCACCAGCCTCACTTTCTCCTCTAGAGCCATTTGGGTCCAGTAGCCAGATAAAGAGCAGGATGACTGGAGATGGCCCCAAATAAGAAGAAATTAACAGGGAATTAAGAGGGGTTGGGGAAGGCTTCCTGTAGAAGATGGGATTTTAGCTGGGTCTCAAAGGAAGAAAAGAAGGTCAGTAGTCGGAGAGGAGGAGGTAGTGCATTCCAGGCACGGAGGACAGCCAGAGAGAGTGCTCAGGGCAGAGTCAGCCTGACTTTTAGGCCTTTCCAAAAGCTGTTGTGAAGCCTTTGGAGAAGCAGGAGGTGGCTTCCATCTCACTTCTGCCACTTATTTGCTGTCTGACCGTTTTCTTGCTATTGTTCAGTTGTTTTTCAGTCCTGTCTGACTCTTCATACCCCATTTGGGTTGTTGTTGTTGTTGTTTTGGCAAAGATCCTGGAGTGGTTTACCATTTCCTTCTCCAGCCCATTTTACACATGAGGAAACTGAGGCAAACACAGGGCAGTGATTTGCCCAGGGTCACCCAGCTAGTGCCTGAGGCTGGATTTGAACTCAGGTCTTCCTGACTCCAGGCTCAGCACTCTAACCACCGTGCCAGCTAACCACCTGTCTACCATAAGCAAAATATCTAATTTCTCTGAATATCATTTTCCCCATCTGTGAAAGTGGTGTTACAAGTTGTACCTGGGCCACTAGGTGGCACCATAGTAGATAGAGTGCCAGGCCTGGAGTCAGGAAGACCTGAGTACACTAGCTGGGTGACCCTTGACAAGTCACCTAACTGCTCTCTGCGTCAGTTTATTCATCTGTAAAATGAGGTTAATAATAGCACCTCCCTATTATAAGGATAAAATGAGATAATATTTTGCAAATCTTAAAGCATTACATAAAATGCTATTATTGTTGTTATTATTATCTTAAAAGTTGCCTGTGGCCCAGGCATTGTATTACAATGGAAAGAATTTTGTATTTGAAATCAGAAGACCTCAGTTCAAACCCCGGCTCTTCCAGTTGGTACCTATGTGCTTTGGTAAGTTCTTGGACCTCTTGGCTTCCTCATCTATAAAATGTGAGTTGAAATATATTTGGCTGCAATAAAATAAATGATAACATCACCAAGAGGTCAGACTCTGATGGATCGTCATGAACCGTGTCACTCCTGGAGAATGGATAAAGAAGCTCATCTTCCACCTCTCAGAAGAAAGGTGGGAGGCCATGGGTACAGAATGTGATATACACTGTCTGAGTACATTTGCTGTATAGAGCTGTTGCTTAAGTGTTTTTCTAGTTAAGGAACAAGTGTATCATGAAAAGAGAAGGCAAACATAAAAGTTCCAAAAACCCAAACCAAGGGAGGAAGTGTGACTTGATGGCATTCCAAGGCCCTTCCAGATCTAATCCCGGATGCGACCATCTTATGACCGTCAGGCTCTCTCCTCTCTGATCCCTCTTCTGAGCACCTCCAAAATAATGTCTCTCAATGTTTTTATTGTTATTGATGTATCATTTTTACATCAAATTCAACCCTTCTAGTGAGTCGTCACTTGTAGTCAATCAGCTGGCATTTTTTTTTTGGTGAGGCAGTCAGGGTTAAGTGACTTGCCCAGGGTCACACAGCTAGTGTTAAGTGTCTAAGGCTGGATTTGAACTGAGGTTTTCCCAACTCCGGGGCCAGTGCTCTGTCCACTGTGCCACCTAGCTACCCCCAGCTAGCATTTATTAAGTACCTACTATGTGCCAGGCACTGGGTTAAGCTTGTAACAAAGGATTTAAAGAAAGAGAAAGGACAAAGAACACTAAGAAATAAATAAAATAAAGATTTTAATTATTTTTTCATAAATTAAATAATTTCATTGAAAGAAAACTAAATAATTTTTCATAAAGAAAACTTGATTTAGTACCTTAACATTTTTAGAATCCTGAAGTTTTTAATTGGTCATCAGAACACAGTGAAATAAATCAATGTCTCTTGTATTTTCATGATGAGCTTCTTTCCCCCCCCTCCCCTGGGGTTGCCCACCTTTATGTTGGGATCCCCTGGATTACGTAAGGTACCTTCTGCATCTGCATCCTATGACCATTCATCATTCCTGAACTTAGCTAAACCTCCCTGAACCCTGTGATAGAATGTCAGCTTCTTTCCTTCCTGGCATTGTGATCTCCCTTGTTTTCTTCTTAGTTACATCTGGCAACACATCGAGGTTGGTTATGTGCAGGCATGTGTGACCTCCTGGCCCCATTGTTGGTCATCCTGGATGATGGTAAGTGACCACCAGGCTTCTGTGACTTCCTCTGGTCTTCCATCTGGGTGGTGGGATGAGTCTGACAATTTCATTTTTACCTCCTCCCACCCCAACCAGTGGACAGTGAGCTGCTCTTCAGGAAGCCATGTGAAGCCTGCCAGGCTTCATCCAAAACAGGTCATACCATATGAACCTCATTTCCTTTCTGCTTTCTTTCATTTTTGGACTGGATTACTAGACCAGTCTACTATGGTAGTGGATCAGATTTACCTTGGAGTTAGCAAGACATTTGACAGAGTCTTTCATACTGTTGTTATAGATATGGTGGAAATAGGACAGGTAGTTGGATTCCAAATTGGGTGAATGGCTGGATCCAAAGAGTCATCATTAAATGTCTTGATGGTGACTTGGAAAGAGGTCTCTAGTGGAGTGCCTCAGGGATCTGTGCCTCTGTTATGGTTGTTGTGCAGTTATTTAGCCCTGGGCACTTAAGCACTTTTTGTTAGTACTTTGGATAAAACTGGCTTGATGGGTGATCAGATTTGCAGGGATAGGAGGAATTACTAATATGCCACGTGATAATCAGCATCAAAAACAAGCTATTGACATGTTAGAACATTGGGTTAAATATGTGAAGATGAAATTTAATAGGTATGAATGTTAAACCTTGCACTTAGGTTCCAAAAATCACTTTCGGTAATTATAAGCAATGGGAGGCATGGCTAACATATGGTTAGTTTGAAAAAGATCTGGGGGTATTAGTAGTCTACATGCTAAAGGTGAGACAAGGCTGCATTGAGAGAGATCAGGCACCCATGACCAGGGTGATGACCATCCCACATCCTCTCCTCTGCTCAGATGTTGTCTGCAGTGTTGTGTTCAGTTCTGGGCACCATAGTTTCAGAGGGACATCAGTAAACCTGAAATTGTATCCTGAGAGTGAAGACACTTTAGATCTTGTCCTATGAGGATTAGTGGAAAGACATGGGAATATTTAGCCTGGAGAAGAGAAAAGGAGGGGAACATGAGAAACGTCTTCAAGTATCTGGGAAGGGATTCACCTTGTTCTGCTTGGCTCCAGAGCAAACTAAGGCAAGTTACAGAGAGATGGGTTCAGGTTTGATATAGTGGAACACTTCCCTGGCCTCAGTTTATTCTTCTGTAAAATACTGGGGTTCAGAGGATGAGAGCTTTAGACCTTGAAGGGAAGTTCAAGACCATAAAGCCTGAGCCCATCGTTTGACAGAAGAGGAAACTGAGACCCAGAGAAGGAAAATCACTTGTCCAAGGTCACAGAGCTTAGAAGTGGTAGCGCTCGGATGTGAGGGCTGGGTCTTGGACTCCAAATTTCACTCTTTGTTCACTATACTGGATGGATGGATACGGTGAACATTTATTAAGCACCTGTTTTGTTCTAGGCACTGTGCCAGGCACTTTACAAATTTCTCATTTGATCCTCACAACAACCCTGAGAGGTAGGGGCTATTATTACCCACATTTTTATAACCGAGGAAACTGAGGCAGACAGAGGTAAAGTGACCTGCCCAGGGTCACACAGTTAGTAAGTGACTGGATTTGAACTCAGGTCTTCCTGACTTGAGGCCACTATGTGGCCTCTGTGGCGCCCCCTAGCTGCTGCACTGGGTAAGCTGATCCCCTGAGATCTCTCCCAGCTCCAGAGCCCCCCAGGGTCTTCAGGAGTCCCTGATTGTTGTCTGACCTCTTCTCTTCACCATTGCATGTCCAGAGGCCCTCGCTTTCAGCTGCTTTACAGAACTCATGAAAAGGATGAACCAGAACTTCCCCCATGGAGGCGCCATGGACACCCACTTTGCTAACATGAGGTCCCTCATCCAGGTAAGGCATGGTGATGCTAGAGGTGGAGGAGACAAAGCAGAGCCACGCGGGGGCGCGTAGGATGCTCGCCAGTGAGGGCTGGCCCATTTCACTTCAGCAAATGCATGTTGACTGACTGCCACTTAGTAAGTGGCAGAAGCAGGATTTGAACTCGGGTCCTCTGACTCCAAACCCAGTCTTTTTTTTTCATGGTACCAGGCTGCCGCCTTCTTTTCGGCTTTTGTGACCCCCATGCTTCGCACTGGGGCTGGCACAGACTAGGTGCCCAATTCCTGCCTCGGGGGCCGGCCCCTTACCTGCCGCTTCACGTTTCTACAGCCCGTCAGGGTGTTTGAGATCCCTTCCCCCATAATACTCTTTGAGGTTGGCAGTCCAGAAGTTATTAAACCCATTTTACTGATGTGGAAAACAAGTCTTTGAGAACTCATAGAACAATACTATTCATCAGCACTTGTTTGGGAGAAGAGGAGATGGAAGGCAAAGATGTGAGTTGTCTTCATCTGTTTCAAGGGCTGTCGCGTGGAAGAGGCACTCGCTTTGTTCTGTTACTGTCGTTGAGTCTTGGCCATGGCCCCGTGTGGGGTCTTCTGGGCACAGATACTGGAGGGGCTCGCCATTTCCTTCTCCAGCTCATTTTACAGATGAGGAAACTGAGGCAGGCAGGGTGAAGTGACTTGTCCAGGGTCACGCAGCTGGTGTCTGAGGCTAGATTTGAACTCAAGTCTCCCTGACTCCAGACTATTCTGAATAATGTATGTGGTAGGATTTTTTGAGCGCATACATTTTTTCTTCTTCTTTTTCTTTATAATCCAACTCTCGGGGATAGCCCGGTACCCGGCTCCTGGGATCAGTGGGAGACCCTCCCTCCAGGCGCGTGCTGACGTGACTTTTTCTTCTCTGGGGCAGATTTTGGACTCGGAGCTTTTTGAGCTCATGCACCAGAACGGCGATTACACACATTTCTACTTTTGCTACCGCTGGTTCCTTCTGGATTTTAAGAGAGGTACGAGCTTCTGGAGGGGTGGGCTCCCATGTCGTACTGGAGGCAGAGCCATCCGGTGGAAGGAAGGCAGCTCAAGAGCAACCTGCGATGATAGAACTCAGAGCCCTTGGAGGACACATAGTCCAACCTCTTCATTTGGCAGAAAAGGAAACTGAGGCATAGTGAAGTTAGGTGATTGACCCAAGGTCATGCAGCTTGTAGTAGCAGAATTGGGATTCAGTGCCAGGACTTCTGACTCCAGTTCCAGTTCTCATTCTCCTTCTTTCTCTTTCTCTTCTCACGAGGGTACCCCTAAAAGTGAGCAAAGCATGCGGCATGGAGAGTATCAGACAATTCTACGATGCTTAAAAGTTTCCCAAAACATTTTACATAATGATACCATTTGATCCTCACAAGAACCCAGTAAAGCGGGTATTATTATTTTCATTTGTATTACTGGGGAAACTGAGGTATGAGCGGCTTACTGTTGGAGGAATCTGGATGCCCCAAGAATTTGATGTTATTGGTCAGCGCTGTTGGGCACCCCTCCCTTGAGCGGGATGAAGCATTAGCCGGGGACTGAGCCGTTTTCTTCACGGTGGTTGAGTGAGGGGCAGTGAGGCAGTTCTGAGCAGGCCTGCTGTCTTGGACCCTCCCTGAAATCTGTGCTTTGGTGTTTCCATAGAACTAGTCTATGATGACGTCTTCTCGGTCTGGGAAACCATCTGGGCCGCCAAACACGTCTCTTCCTCCCACTATGTCCTTTTCATCGCCCTGGCCTTGGTGGAGGTGTACCGAGACATCATCTTGGAAAACAACATGGATTTCACAGACATCATCAAGTTCTTTAATGGTGTGGGTCCAGGGAGGGGCTGCTGGGGGAGGGGAAGAGAAAGCGGGAAGGTCTGGGTGTCCAGAAGGAAAATAGTACCTTCGATTAAGCCAGGTCTTGTTTAGGGCTGAGTCGGTGATGAAAGGAAGAAGAAGGTTTATCTGAGTGAATTCTGTTCACTTTAAATTCCATTCTTTCCAAAAACAGAGTGACAAGATGACTTCGTTCCATTGAATGTCTTTTAAGAGTGGGCCTCTTTTTAAAGCCCCTCCCATCTGACATCCCCTGTTCTAAGTCTCCCTCCCAGCCGTGACATTCCCTGTCCTAAGGCCCCTCCCAGCCCTGACATCTAAGGTCCTTCCAGCTCTGACACTCCTTGTTCTAAAGCCCTCCCAGCTCTGACATCCCCTGTTCTAAGTCTCCCAGCCCTGACATCCCCTGTTCTAAGGCCCCTCCCAGCCCTGACATCCCCTGTTCTAAGTCTCCCAGCCCTGACATCCCCTGTTCTAAGGCCCCTCCCAGCCCTGACATCCCGTTCTAAGGCCCCTCCCAGCTCTGACATCCCCTGTTCTAAGGCCCCTCCCAGCCCTGACATCCCCTGTTCTAAGGCCCCTCCCAGCTCTGACATCCCCTGTTCTACGTTTCCCTCCCTGTTCTACATCTCGTAATTCTATGATGAGTTCACTAAAATGCAGTCCCACTTTCTCAGCATCCTTGGTTCTCATCCAACCCTCCTGTCTCCTCTGACCCTCCTTTGGAGCTGGGGGCTTCCCCAGGCCCAGGGCCGCCCGGGAGGTTTTGCTCACTTCACTTTTCTCCCCCGTCTCTTCACAGAGATGGCAGAGAGGCACAACACCAAACAGATCCTGAAGCTTGCCCGAGACCTCGTCTACAAGGTGCAGACTCTGATCGAGAACAAGTAGAGGGGCCAGCGACGCAGCGGTGTCCCCTGGAAGCTCCTGCCCGAGGCTTTGTTCCACCTTCTTTCATCTGGAGATGTCCGCACCCTCAAGAAAGACTTTGGGGCCAGGCCGAGGACGCAGGCTGTGCCGGCAGCGTCTGGAAGCGTCTCCTGTTGGGATACGTGGCAGGCAGGAGAGCAGTTTGTTGCTTCGTACAACTTTATGCTTATGTGTTCAACCAAAGATCTCCAAGTCGGAATCAGTCTCTTCTGGGGGAGGAAGGGGATGACTGGAAAAGAAGGGAAATGTTCCTCCGTGGCCTCATTGTATTATTTCTCTCTTCCCTCGAGACCCACCTCCCCTGATCCAAGTAGTCCCCATGATTTTCTGAGAGCAGGAGCAATGAAGCCTTCCAGGAAGCAGTCTTGGGGGAGGGCTCTGAGCTGTACTGCAATGGGGAGGCTGACTTGGCTGCCCAGCAGGTCCGTTGTCCCTTGCGTGAGCAGTGGGCACGGATGGAGGACCACAGATGGCCATAATGAAGGAATCCACGTCTCTTTCACCTTCTTCCACCCACTGCCAAGATCTGCTGCTCCCAGCCCCGAGTCCAGCCGGACAAGGAAAAAATCCAGAAATATGCTGGATAACCCAGCTTCCTTCTGATGCTGGGGTCTCTGTTCGATGCTGCTCCCTCATTCCTTTCCTTGGGAGGACACACTTTTTTTTTTTTCCTCAAGGGGAAGTTTCTCTTTTACACACCTCAGTGCCAGTCAAAGTCTGGATCCCGGCAGACAAGGATTTCTTCTGAGAGCTCTCAAGGGGGCTAACTAGGGCTTCCTTGTGGTGAATTCCAGAAGGATGAACAAGATTGGAGAGTCCTTCCTAAGTGTCCCCCTCCCACCTTTTTTTTTTTAACTCAGGTAGAAGGAAGACAAGGATTAGTCCTGTTTGATGACTCAGCAGGGAGCATAAGAGATCTGGCTGGGTGGAGCATTGATGAGGCCAGAGTGGGGCTCAGCTGGAGTACCTTCCTAGAAAGGTCCCACTGAGAAGTTGGTCTGTGTTAGGATAAGTCTGCACTCGAGGCTCCTTCCTTTTCTGTTGTCCAGCTGGAATGACCTCCAGCCACAGACTCACCCTAAACGATTTTTCTCTTCCCCACCTTCCCTTCTATGAGCTCGATGCCCTAATTCTGATCCAAGGCCACAGATCAGAGAAAGACAGCCACAGATGGGAGAGTGAAGCTCCTTCCCTCTTCCCAGAAAACCATTCAGTCCCTTTGAGGTTGACCTCCCCTGACTATCGACCTGCCTAATATCTTCCTGCCAAATACATAAATTGGTTCCAGGGAAACAAAACAAAAACTATAGAAAACATGATGGGCAGCAGGGTGTAGGGAATAGGGCTTAGCATCAGGAAGAACCTGGGTTCAAATCCTGCCTCCTACACTTATTACCTGTGTTATCTTGGGTACGTGGGCCTCAGTTTCCTCATCTTTAAAATGAGAGGGTTGACTGCACAGTCTCTGAGGTCCCTTCCAGCTCTAAGGCTATGATCTTACATACCATGGGCTAGTTAGCGTGTGTGTACAATCCTTGTGTTGGAGATGAGAGAAGCAGAACCCATCTGTGGGAACTTTAACTCTCGTTTCCAGAGTTAGAAAGTTCTCTTCTCATAACTTTGTGAGACAGTGACCTATGTTCTCTTATTCCCGATTGACGGATGAGGAAACTGAGACTCAGAGGCCAAGTGACTAAGTCAAGCTCACACAGCTCCTGAGTGTCAGCTGGGATTTCAAACCAGGTCTCCTGGCTCCAGATTCAATTCAATAAACAATTCTTAAGCCCTTGCCCTCGGGGAGCTTACATTCTCCACCTTCCTTGCACCTTCCATTGCCTCCAGGAGGAGGAGAAGGCTCTCTTGCTATCCGCCCTGCACTGTCCTCTCTCTCCTCTCTGTTGGATCTGGGTCACTTCTCTTGACTTAATCCTATGAAGAGCACACTTGGTGAACCACGGGGAGGCTTGGGCTTCCCTGCCCTGAGGACCCATCTGTACTCGACTTTCAGAATCAATCTTAATCATCTGGAGTCTGAGTACTTAATACTGATCTCAAGATAGAAAGTGCCATCTTCCGCTATTCCATTTGATGTCACCCGCCTGGTCTCTGTCACTTTCCAGGTGTTCAGGAACAAAAGCAATCAAACACATAAGAAGGCCCCTTAGAGAAATTTTTAAAAATCCAAATATTCCCAAGTCATCATGTTTTGGACAAAGTACCTGAGAAATCCTGGACGAAACCTTTTGTCTCCGTTCTGATGGTTTTCCAGAAAGCCATTTTGGCCACTCAGTGGTTATGTTCAGGAATACTTGGGACTTGCCCTATTTTTTCTACATCTTATGTGTCCATGCATAACCAAATTCAAGCAATTGTGAGTCATATGGCCAAAGGGACTGATGCTTTTCAGTGTTATATACGCATCTTGTAAGTGTTTACCAGAGACTTGTCTTTCTTTTCACATATACACACAAGAAAGGCAGGGTGGTACAATTCAGTGCAAATCAGTGAGCATTTATTAAGCTGCTACTGTGTGCCAATCACTGGGCTAGGCACTAGGGATACAAAGACAAGGCAAAACAAAACACAGCACAGTCCCTGCCTTCAAGGCATTAGCCACTGGAGGTGCTTACTTTCTGTAGGACAGAAGGCATTTATTTGCTAGACTTGCAGTCAGGAAGACCTGAGTTCTAATCCTGCCTCTTCCTAGATGTATGACCCTGGGCAAGTCACTTGATCTCTTTCAAACTTCTCTAAGTTAAAGAAAGTCTTCAGTCTGCTTGGGTGTAGGAACCCTCCATTGACAAAATCCCAGATCCTTGGTATATTGATAGCTACCTATGGACAAATGTAGAGAAGTCTATAAAGGGGATCAGGCTGTTAATCATTTTTATTTACTTATTTTGGGAAGAAACTTTTTGCTTCTGAAAACTGTGTGGCTCATGCTTTCCTTCCCTTCCAATGATGTGTCCACGTGTGATCTTCTTCTCATGCCAACTCTTCTGCTACTCCCACAAAAATTAAGGGCAGAGAATGGACCCTTGACTCCCCTCTTCTTCTGTGTGGGTGGATCCCCACTTGCCTGTGTTCAGGATATGAAGCTGAACATAGCCCTAATCTGAAGTTTCAATGTGTACATAAATATATATATATATATATATATATATATATATATATATAAAAATGTATAGGTATAATACATATAGAGATATATTAGGTAACTTCGACTTATTTATTGCCTAACCTACCTCATGGAGGGGGGTGAGGATGGGCATTTTCAATTCTGGAATGTTTAAAACAGCCTTGGAGCTAGTTACTTGCCTGCTCTCTCAGGCAAGTGAAATAGAATGCTGGTGTTTTTTGTTTTTTTTTACTACTAGCATCCACTCTCTCTCTTGAGCTGGTCAATTTTCAAGTCCTTATTTATGAGACTGGCTTAAAATGTATGGCGCGTCCTGTGCATTGTTAATCTAGTCCCTTCTTTGGCTTGACTCGGGTTTTAAAATTCCCAAGGGCAAAGGCAGTTTTCTATAGAAGACGCCTGTGTCCAAAAGACTTCCAAAAATGGGCATCAAAGCTGCTCCTTGGCATCCAAAGGCTGTCATAAGCTATATCAAATATGAAAGGCTTTATATTGCCTTAGTGACAGTGTCCTTGTCTGGGAACCGGTCTAGTTAACTACAAAAGGGCTAATCACTAGAAGTTAGGCCCCAAGTGAGGATTCCTTTCCATTCCTTTCCTTTCTATTCCTTTCCTTTCCTTTCCTTTCCTTTCACTTTCTCCCTAAGTCAACTGGGCTAGACACTGAGGCAGCTTTGACCAAGGGTAGCAGCAGATCCTGCCCACAGGAGAAAGAAACAGTGAAACACCGTGTTGGAGATCAGAGCAGTTTTCACACCAGAGGGAGAATTTCCATCTCACTCTCCAACTTGTCCCATGTAAACAGTATATAGAGACTGACAGACTTTTAAATCAGTGGTTCTCCAAAGTCTTGCATTTTCACCAGCCCTTCTATCTCCCGTAGATCACATACCTCGCCAAAAACTCCCTGAATGGACCAGGGAGATGGCACCATGTTAGGTGAACCACCAGTGGGACAGCACCTGGTTTTATTAGCCAGCCAATGTTTTAAGTTGGGCCAGAACCACAGATCCACATGTTGTCAGATCATATACACGTGTTCAAATTCCAGAATACCAGTCATCCAGAGGTGACTTTAGAGAATTTCTGCTGATGGACCCTTTTGTGGAACAAGGAGGAAGGTCCCTCATGGCAGCCCAGAGAGAATACCCAAGGGAATTTTCCCAGAGGAGTCATCCCTCTGGCTTCCCGTGTTCCTTGGTGTGTATGTTGATCATTGAAGAGTGAAGAAATGTCTTTCCCCAAAACTGGGGTTGACAGCTGAATCCCTCCATTTGTAGCTCCTTCCTGTCACTGGTCGCTAAGTAACTGATAAGAGGTAGACATCCCCTGGCCCCGCTAATTGCCCAAGGCAGGCACAAAATGAACAATGGGACCAGGCTTGACCTTATATAGTGAGTTTCCATTGGAAACTGTATTTTTAAAAATACAGATACTGTCAGGTATCTGTTTACATCCAAGTAACATACCACTTGGGTATTGAACTTTTAGATGGTATGGCCCACTCGCTCCATCCTAGAGGATTGGTTATAGATCCAAAATATTTGAAAGTCATGAAGCAGCAGTGGGTGGTATTAAAAGTTCTGTATTTTTGGTCCAGGACAGCTAGGTGACGCAGTAGGTAGAACGCTGAGCCTAGAATCAGGAAGACCTGAGTTCAAATCTAGCCTCGGACATGTCCTAGCTGTGTGACCCTGGGCAAGTCACTTCACCCTGTTAGCCTCAAGTTTCCTCATCTGTAAAATGAGCTGGAGAAGGAAATGGCAAACTCCTCCAGTATCTTTGCCAAGAAAACTCCAAATGGGGTCACGAAGAGTCAGACTCAACTGAAACAACCCAACAGCTGCATTTTTGGTCTTAGTAACACTTTTCTGTTTGGTCCTTTTGATGGTTACTAAAGGAAATCTGTGGGATGGCAGACATTCCTGAGGTACCCATGACCTGTGGCCCCTCCACCAGCCTTACTGTTCTTTGTTCTGCCGGTCCCATTGTTCTGATCCCGTTCTATATCTCAGTTCTCATGTTGTTCCTTGGTCTGCCAGCCTCACTTTTCCATGTTCCAATAGCCCCTTTTCCCCAATATCATTCTCCCAAAATCCACATTCTTATATTGCAATGGCCGGTATCTCAACTCTCCCATTGTTCTGCCATCATTCAACCAGTTTCATGCCCCCTCAGCCTTAGTTCTGCGTGCTCAGGCTTCTTGTCACGCACCAGAGCTACCCTTTGATGCTTGCAGACCCACGTCTGGGCTCGTCCTCGTGGGGAGCAGGGCGCCCACATACCTGTTGAACTGGCACAAGTGCCTCATCTAATGCACTACTGCCCTCCTTGTTCTCAATGATATATTTTTACAAACAACAACAAAAAAAGCCTAAGTTAATGTTCTTGCTTCTTGTAAAGGACTTCTTACACAACTGCATTCATCTGAACTTTCTGTAGTTGTGGGTGAAGGACTGGCCACACCTTCTTTAAGCGTTCCTGGCATGAGTTTTAGAAGTGCGTGGTCTTTGTCCCCAAAATATGTGTATGTGTGTGTTTCAGGCATCTTTGCCGCTTGTAGTGGTGAGACTGAGAATAATGTTTCTGTGAAAGATTTCATGTGGATTGGATTTATTCCACTTGAGACCAAGATGGCGGCACAAGGGCGTTTGAGTGATGCCCTGGCATAATTTCCTTTCTCTTTCCTGGGACTTTTCCTCTCGCAGCCAACCA